ATAATCTGGGCACAAAGGATTTGTTTGTCTGACGGAGAGGGGATTTCTGTGTGTGTACATGCACTGATTCTCTGAGTAAAGGGTCCATGGTACATGCATGTACATGCACATGTACATCACTGAACCTCGTTAATAAAAGCATTGCCAATACAAGGTTCCTGTTCCCAACAAGGTTAATTTGCAAAGTCCAAAGGATCTCTTATTAACGCGGTTCAACTGTACATGTACATGTACACTCACATGTAAGATGTACATATACATGTACATGCGTGATTTATGTATGTTAATACATGTACATACGTATATGTACCCCGGTTCATGTATGTACTTGTACATGTACAAATGTACATGTAAGTGTACATGTACATGGCAGTGGTACAAACATGTACATGTACCGGTCCTTGAATATTGCATTTGAATAAACCTAGGGAATGGGAAGTTCTATTCACACTTTTTCTCTTCCTTGGGAATTCATTTTCATTTCACAAAATACAAAAAACCTCTCGCATAGTGGGAAAATATTTTTATGACACAATTGGGGGAAACATCTTCACACAAGTGGAAAGAGATTTTTAAAGACTTTATGCCTTTCACTCATCTTGGAAAAGATTTTCCTGCTTTGTCACACAAGTGGGAGAACCTTTTCACATGTTTCCCACAAATGGGAAATTATTTTCACGCCTTGTGAATGTTGAATTACAGTGTACAAGTACATGTAAATTCTCCTCAAAAATTTCCCATTCATAGTGTTACATGGAAAGTGTTTTCTATTGAAATGTACATATGTGCTCCTCATTAAATGCATGCACAGTACTGCGCACATATACTAGTAATTATGGGCACAGGCATTCACCGCATTCAGGGGATAAGTTCTTTTGTTAGGGAAATTTGAACAACATGTAAGTTGTGGGGACGGACTTTTCTGAGTCCCCACAACATTTTCAGTCCCAACAAAATAGGTGAAGTGTCCAGTGTATGTTCCCACAACCACGGTGCAGGAGTGGGTGTACATGTACACATGTACGGTACATGTATATGTGACCCACTCTGTGAAAATGAGTCTTAAGTTGCCAGAGCCACTTTGGAGTGAAAAGTTCATGAGAATAATTTTGCACAGTGTAAACCAATAGGGACCCACAGCTTTGTTCACCATGGAACATCCACTTTTATAAGGATGCCAAACTGAGTGATATATCAAAACAAAAAACTCAATTTGCTCTTTCCAATACAAATGAAAACTCAAAAAGTGGCTCTGGCGACTTAAGACTCATTATCACAGAGTGGGTCACATATGTGCATCATCTACCAGGTGTACATGTAACATATGCCCTACACGTAGTTGCTACCTGTTCATGCCTTACCCCCTCAACCTGCCTACATGCATGACATGTACTTCCCTCATGGGCCTAGCTGGCACTGATAAAAATCCTGTGAAGGTTTCCACTCTCTTGCCTTTATTCCTATCATTACGCATACATGTACATGTACCGTAGTACATACATGTACATTGTACATGTATGTACATGTACATGTGTGTGTCGATGTACATGTATAGTCATGTACCGGTACATGTACGTGTAGAACATGTAGCATGGGTGGAATTGCTAGGAATTTTTGTGAAATTATGTAGACATGCAAAAAACTGCAAATACGTACATGTACATTGTCAAAGGTAGGTTATTAACTACATGTATGCTCAAAAATGTACATGTACATCCAGAATTGCAGTCACAACCGGGCAATTAAATGCCGAATTGGACTAAGATGTTCCCTGTCTGCCTGTAGCATTGTAGAATCATCGGAATGGCGCTGAAATCGGTGCGTCACCAACAGTCATATCAAATGACCTCGCTCCTGTAGAGCCACACATTATGCGTCCTTAACGGTGATACAATTAGGCAGAAAGGAAGCATTGTACCTGCAATAATGCCGCTCTCCACCCCAGGTAAAATGCATAATGAGCAATTAAGTGAAGTACATTGTGAGACAAGTACTAATTTTCACCAACACTGAAGATGTTGCCAGCCAAACCTATGTGCTTGCCAGAGCTGTACAGTACGTGTACACGTTCTCTAGTACTCAGGCGTATTTGCAGTTTTTTCTCAAGTCCATCATTGAAGGAAACTGTGCTAGGGTAGGCAGTAATAATGTCTATCAGTAGGGCTCTCATCTGCTCTGACCTGAAAACCGTACTGCAACAATATTTTACACAATCTGTACATGTTTTTACCTCACTCCGGGATGAGGGTTTCTAAGTACATGTGGGTACTACTAGAATGTGGAATGCTCACATGGATTGGAAAAACAAAAAAATCGCTGAAAGAGTACACTACAAGTAGACCTGTACATGTGATGCAGTATTACATTTTTCACGCAACGAATTTTCAGTGGAGCATGTATTATGGACACTGGTAATTCCAGAAATTAGGGGTCCAAAAGTGTGACATTTTTGTGTCCCTGTTTCACTGTGCATCTGACCTGTGTTATTCAAACTATTACGATGTCAGATGTGACTGGGACACGAACAAAATGGACCCCTAATTCCGGCAATCACCCACATGTACATGTATACATGTACGCTGCAATCTTTCTTTTGTTACTGGTACGGTACATGTATATACACGTACATGTTCACATGTACACTGTACATGTCCATCGTAGCCATACATGTACATGTAGCTCTAACAGTCCAAAATCTTCCAATTTCAATATGATTTTGTACATATACCCTAGGGGTTAGGGCTAATTTTTTTAGCCATATAGTGTTTGTTTAACCGGCTGGCCATCAACAAAAGAGAAAAAACCACAATTTGTAAAAACAAAAGCACACAAAGTGTTGAAATATTGCCACCTACAATACATGTACCGGTACACAGGGCAATGAACATGTTATCAGTTGTAAAGGTACCGGCACATGTACATGTTTCATGCGAACCGAGCTTATCGGGGCACATGAAAAATGTTCAACCCGCGTTGAAAAATCTCTACCCTGCTCCGCAGCAGGGTTGAGTTAAACTTGGGTTGGAATCAATCAGTCTCGGGGTTGATGCAGGGTTGGTGCTGGACTGAAATTTTCAGGTGTGAATCTTAACCAGTTTTCAACCCTGTATCAACCCCGAGATTTAATTGTCTACACTCGTAAGGTTGAAAATGACTGTTGTGTGAAAAGGCCTATTGTTTGTATATGAACATGTATTTCTCTTTGGAAGACCATGCACTGATGCAGATTGAGGCAGAAGTGATTACTCTCACACATACAAAACATTGGCCATGATAGGTGCACGTGTCGTTTAAACAATCTTCCTCGCCTTTCTCTTGGTTTCATGTGTGTGTGGGAGAGGGGGGCTGGGGTTCTTTTACTCAAGCATGGCTACCACTACTGAAAATATTTTCTGCAATCTGTTGAGCCCCGGGCACGGTTTTGTGGAGGGCACACATTCAAATCTCATTCCAATCAATTTCTCTGTTCATCTTCCTAAACAAAATTCTGACTTTGCTTAAAAAGATAATCAGATTTCCTGCAAAGATATACGAGCACATGTATTGAAAAAGCCCCAAGTGAAGACTTTCAAAGAATCATTGTGAATGCGAACTATATCATGAAATATCCTTAGACTAAAAATGTCATTTTAAAACATTTCAAAAGGTTCCAGCATAAAATGTCCCTGAAATTGTGAAAAAGGATATTGATGCATTTGAAAAAGAAAAGGCCAGTTTGCTATCAGCCATTGTAAATGGCTGGTTTTACAAAAGAAACGCCTGGCTGCATTTTCCCCTCTGACAGCGAGAAAGCAATGAGTCGATGAATGAAATCAATTATTCAAGTTCTTTAACTAAAGGCTTGCGCGCACACAAAGTCATGCCCATTCTCGAATTGCTGCGGCGCCTGCAGTCTTAATTCCTTCCCGTTTACCTTGCCCAAGGTCAGATGGTCGTGATAGGTATCGTCAGAGTTTTTGTCAAAAGTGTCTGCGTCACTGCGTCACCTGCCAGATAACTGCCTTTTTTCTTTTCCTTTTTTTTTTTGTTTTTCATTTTGTTTGGCTGCTCTGCCTGATAGGTGAAATTTTATCAAATCAGCCTGGCGCCAGCCGTCTCGTGTGATTATTTTCTTTAATTGTGCTCCGTGTCTCAGCGAAAGAAGACTTCCCAGCCGTTGTTTCATTCTTGTCATTGCACTAACGGTCAAGGATAATATTGCGGAATTGATCCCCCACTTGAGTAGGAACACACAAACACAAAAATTGCCGAACACACCTCAAACATAATATGCCGGTACAGTACGCGCATGTACGTAGACATCAGTACACAAATAGTGAGGGAGCTTTGACATCTTGCTGCATTGTTGCAAATCTTATTTAGTCTCACAAGGAAGCAGCCTTTGTAATAAAAGAAGATGCAGTTGAAATTTGAGTAACGTTGTTTAATTTTTACAGAAAGTGACGGAAATTGAATGGTAAATGAGCTCTTAACTGTTTAGAAAGGCATAAGAAATTTGCTTTGGTCAAGGGGCTCCACTGGAAATAAAATGAGAAATGTGCAATAAAGTTGATACCATTGATTCTATTCATCCGGTTCCTGTTCAAATACGCTGCAGATTTGCAAAAAATGGGAAGCGCTCTGTGGCAGCCATGATTGAACACGCGTACCGTGTATGCACGCTCTCTCTGTTTTACATGTACAATGTGCAGTCTGGAGCCTTGAGGTACCGGTATGGTAACTGAAAGGTGTTCAGACCTTCATGTACATGTATGGATGATATGTGCCCCACGGAATTAAGCTTTGTCCTTGAGACTGGTATTTATCTAAGCCATCAGGCACATGCATCCACAAATGTACATGTACACACATGTACGCACATGCACATGTACCAGCAAAAGATCATATTTCCTTAAGGCACTGATCCAGGATCTCCTCTTGCCTTTAAAATTGGAACACTTCCGATTGAGTTCTTTTTAATTGACTTTGTTTGTTGTTTGTGTTTTTTTTTTTCTCTGCAGCCTGATGACCCGAACTATGCCTCTCAGAGACAGGTGTACGATGACCTGGGCCAGGAGATGCTTACCCATGCATTTGAGGGGTATGCGAGTTATTTCATGGTGTGCTTGTTTCGAGACACATCCATCCTCACCATGGGAAACTCTCCAAAATAAACCACAGCTAGATTTTAAACCACAGCTAGATTTTACACGATGTATATTGAGACCTAAGTTGTAGTTGTCAGGGTTGTAGGGGGATTACGGGTAACTGCCCTGAGAAATGGAACCTTTAACTGTGGTGTATGAAAGCACCAATACATCATTGACTTGGGCAGAATACTCCATGCAAAGTTCCCGCGGCCTAGAAAAGTCACGAAGATGGAAACTTGTTTTCATTTTCCAGGCCCGGAAAAGTCATGGAAGTTCATAAAAAATGACTCAACTCGTGGAAAAGTCATGGAAGTTCATCAAGAATGACTCAACTCGTGGAAAAGTCATGGAACTTTTCAAACACTGTGTGACCTCTATTATCAGAAATAAGTGCATAAAATGTGTGATTTTATGTGCAACTTTAGACGTCCAAACAGTCCCAACAAATTGCATTATTTGGTCATGGAAAAGTCATGGAATTTAATTGCCCTTTAGGTGCAGGAACGCTGTCCATGTCATGTGCACAGATTGGCCTTTATACCAACAGTCTGTGCACATCAGGCCATGTGTATGTGACTTATGCAAAATGGAAAATTGTCATTCTTGTCCTATAGGCCAGTGTAATCACTAGGGTCTGCTCTTCCTGAATGCACTTTGAAAAGCTTTTAAACTTTCTAGCAGAATCGATGCCCTTGTCAGTTGTCTATTTCCAAAAAACCATAAAGCATGTGAACACTACATGTACAGTATTTGCTGCTGTATGGTACCTACGTGTATGGTCGTTCTCCTTCCCTGTAAAAACACTGAATTCTATATGAGGAACTGTCCATTTTTTGTTATTTTCACAAGTGTTTGAAGAGCACTCTTTTTCTACAACCTCCTGTAGAAGGTACATAAATCAAAAAAAAAATATTGTGCTGGGTATTGTTTGTTTTCATTATTTTAGAAAAAAACATACATGGCCTTCCCATTTTGTGAAAATTAAAATACATGAATGATAAATGTACCATTTCACTCAAACAAATCTTTGATTTGCATAAAATTCTGTAGCAATAGACTAATTGGGCCAGCCAAGTCACGTGTACATGTACGTGGGTATTAAATATCAACAAACATGGTGTCGATGCACCAAAAGTACAGTGTTTCATTAGTATCATTTCCCCAAAATTAAGCCGACGTAAGGTACCGTACTCTGACTACAGGTGTGCTGGGTACTGTACCGTAACTTGGCTGTATTGTTCGTAAACAACGCTCAAAACACACATTGCAGTGGGGTTGATACCCACTACTGGTCACATGATGTACATGTAGCTAACGCAATCGATCTATTGACTCCGTGAAAAATCATTACACGCATCGATACCATTCCAGGAAGATTTCTGTTTATGTTCATACCTTCATAAATTGTTCCTCTAGCAGAAGCATTTTAAGGATATTCAAGCACCAGAAGTAAAATGTGTTTTCCCTCCCCTTTTTTTCCCTGCAGGTACAATGTATGCATATTTGCCTACGGGCAGACAGGGTCCGGCAAGTCGTACACCATGATGGGCAAACAGGAAGCATCGCAGGAGGGCATCATCCCCTTGGTAAGAATGGGAGAACTGCAGTGGGTATATAACCTTTCGCAAGACCATTAGTGGTTTCTATCTAGCGGTCGTGTCTCTGGACTCGTCGGGTATTGGAGGCTGTTGTTGGTGATGAGGTGCACCAGACTGCATAGACTCAAGGAAGGGTGAAAATTAATTCAAGTGTAAAGAAAAATGCAAAAGCATCCGTAGCAAAGTTGGTCAGAATCAAAACTTGTTTGGCTCAGATTCGGTGGATTTCCGGCATAAGACTCTTTGCAGTGACTCTACAAGTATTCCTTTATTTGTTTCTGCACACACCATGTGTTCCAGTACATGATCTGGGCTTAAGACGTGCACAGTACGGGTACTTGTACACGAACTGGTACATCACACACATCGTAATGTACAGTGTATGCTATAATGTACGTGAACATGTACAGGTATGTACAAGTATTCAGTTAGAAATGTGTCCCTATTTGATATAAAAAAAATACTGTACCTTGTTCATGTTCTGGTACATGTAAGTACGGTACTCGCACATGTATGCATCAAAAATGTTGGCATGTGTATGACCCTGGCACACTGAACAATCTAACAATTCCTGTCTTTGAAATTTCATCTTTCATTGTATCTTTGATGCTCCTTTTCATTAAAAAAAATTGAATGTGTCTGAAGTGGAAAAACAAAAACCACACAAACTTGTGCCAGTGCACATGTACATGTGTGTACTGTGTGATATATTCAGACTGAGAGGCACTCTCATGCTTTCAAGTACAATAAGGAAATGAAACCATTGTCCCAAGCTTGTTTACATTTCTTTGTGAAACTAAACGTGAAACAATTGGAGATGATATCAGAATTCTCTTTCTGAATAGGATGTTATTTCCATGTTTTGAGAATACATGTGCATACCGGTACATACATGTACAGTGTACATGTATACGTGTACAAATTAACACCAGTTGGGAGTATCCATTGGATTATGCTTCTCCATGCACATGCACAGTTTTCCATAAGTTTGATTTTACAAAAATTAAGTACAGGAATATCAACCCTGTTTTTTGTCTGTGTGGCAGGGAATTCCTTCCATAAAATTAGTAATCATTTTGTCATCATTAGACATTATCTACATGTAGCATCACTGCTACCTTAAAAAAGCATTTAAAAGCCATGAATGAGCCCCAGTAGGCTTCATTTGGACTTCCAAAGTCATTATTAACATCAAACTAACCTCACGAGGCATTATTTCACAATCATGGGAAATCAACTGGCATTAAAATCAGACATCGCAATGATCACCGAGTTGTCCTCTGGACTTTGGTAGGAATTTTCGAAGTACATGTATATGAGGCATTAAACTGACCTCAGAAGACATCATTTTGGTACCAGTAATTAAGGACATCAACTGGCATCAAAATCCTGACATCACAATGGCCACTGAATCGTTGGTTTAGACTTGAAGAAAATTTCCCACGATTGAGGTATATGGAGGAATCAGTACAAACATTTGTTATACATATACCTACTGGTATTCATGGGAGAGTAAAGAATCCATCATACAAGTACATATGGGTGATTTCAGAAATTAGGGGTCCATTTTTTCGTTGCCCTGTCACATCTGACCTAATGATTTTTCAAGTTAAGAACACATTTTTCTAATTTCCAAGAGTGAAGAATTAATGGAAAAATTACCTGCCAAACAAATAGTAATAGTTTGAAAACAATTCCGATGGTATTTTCATGTCAAATAACAAAGGTCAGATGTAACAGGGACAGGAAAATGTTATACTTTTGGACCCCTTATTTCTGGAATTACCATGTTCATGTATGAAGACACAACTCATGCACTCACGTACATTTATTAAGTGAAATCATGAATCTCGTTTCAAGTATTGGGACATGTACAGTATGTACAGTGTACATGTACGCGCACATGCACATGCTTTGCAATGTCCATGATGGATTTTAATCCTAAGAAACTAGGGGTGCATTCATAAGTGGCACAAGAATGTACCATATTCCAGTAAGGGGGAGCTCTGTCAACCTTCACTGTTGATCACTAGCACTGGGCAATGCAGATGGCATACTGTACTTGGTACTCCTTCTTTGGAGGTGTTGTGCACCGTATGCAAGGTGGCAGACGGTGGATAATTAAATGAGCACTCCTCTTACCCCGTTTGTAGCGGTCACAATGTTTGTTTATGTTTAATAATTCAAACTTTCGGTACGTCGTCTTTCATTAATTAGTATTGCCCCTGCAATGCTGATGCTCCCTTTGTTGCACCTGGCACTACTGAATGCACCCCAGGCGAATAATTTACAGGAAACAAGCAAAATAAGTGGGCGATGCGAGATGCGCCAATTTGGATCTGGTTTATCTTTAATCTCCTCGTCATGAGACACTGCGGCAGGGGGATATCTGCACGGTGTGAAGTGACTCGGTCTGTCCCCACTGCTCCCCAGTTCACATGTAATCTCATCTCTTGACACCGATACCTGACACTTTTTGACTGGAGATTTGGGTTTGTGGGTTAGGAGCTGCCTTGCATTGTCAACCGAGAGGCCCTAGCAAGACTGTGACAGTCTCGTATGTCAGAGCCAATGAGCTGAAATAATTCACAAAGCTTTTAAGAAGCACATTACAATGCTATTTGTGCTTACGCTGGCTCTCCAGGTTAAATATAGCACAATGCGGGCACTTTAACAAATGCACAAGTTTAGCACAGGGGTATTTGTATCATGTGGCTTATCATGTGTTCCAGGGTTTCATATTGAATCGGCAGGGGTGACTGAGGTTGGGCTGGTCATCGACATGTTTCACTTTTGGCAGTGTGTTAGTACAAAATAGATGACCGTACGCGAAATATACCAAATTGAAGTACATTTACCAGAAGTGGTACATGCTTAGTCAGCCTCAAGAAGCATTTTACACCAATATTTTCAGAGTTTTGAATGTCACCGTTTTTCAGATTGTTGTCAATACACTATCTATTCTGTGACCATCTGTGCCTTGGCATCTTCAACTTTCTGTCGATAAGCTAATCTGCACCGATGGTACATGTAATTCTGTAGGCTGTATTCTGTTCTTAAATTCTGCAAGATTTAGTCTGCTTTGTGGATTCCACTGGATGTTCACTCCGTTGTAGGAGTCTGGTGCATTCAGCAGGCTCTGTACCGTCATTTGATTTTGGATGAGCAGGCTCGACATTTTTATCATTAGATTGTGTAACATTCAGTTGGGTTTGCACTTACATGTACAAGTAGGTTTTGCTATTGTTGGTTTCTGTTGAAGCTTTGCGGTGCATCCGCTCCGAGCGCAACAAAAGGGGGCGTGTTTTTTTGGTACTCAGTGCATAAGCGTGCGTTTATAATGGAGATCAATGGCGTATTTGATGCGGAGCACGCTGAGTACACATAACGAATTTATTCCTTAATGTGTGGTCTTTGCGTACACGCAGAACGCTTTCAAGAACCCTCTTGGAAAGCTTACAACCATCTGTCTCTCTTTTGCTGCTTGGGGGTGCACTTCAACTCGGGGCGGATTATACATGTACATGTACCACAATCACCAAGCACAAAAATCAGTGTATAATTTTTGTGTACATACTTAATATGCACTGGTGCGCATGTTGAGATTGCTGCTTTGTAGGACTGTGGCAGTTTTTTTGAAATGTTCAGAACTCTCCTTTATTCTTTGTTGAATTTCAGCTGTGCAAGGAGCTGTTTGACCGGGTCAGCAGCCACCCCGAGGCCAACACGCAGTACTCGGTGGAGGTCAGCTACATGGAGATCTACTGCGAGAGGGTCCGGGACCTGCTCAACCCCAAGAACAACAAGAACCTACGGGTGCGGGAGCACCCACTGCTGGGGCCCTACGTGGAGGACTTGTCCAAGCTGGCCGTCATGTCGTTCAATGACATCTCTGACCTGATGGACGAGGGGAACAAGGCCAGGTGAGTGAACTGCGAACCCTTGGCCAAGTTTGATTGGGTTAAGTTCAGTTCGAGTTAATAGTTAACCTTAGCAGTGTCACAACTACATGTATGGGGAGGGCCTAGGGGTACATGACCCCCAGTGGATATCTGCAGTTAATTACAAATTTTATGAAAATTTAACTCGGCATTTTTCGGAGACATGTAGGTGAAGAATGTTAACATTTCTTCTTATTGAACCTGAAAGAGTGAAAAGTGCCCATGCAAACACTGACAAAATAGGTCACCAACCAAAAGTGTACATGAATTCTGTTAGTTATGGCTGGTTCTCTTCTAGCATTACTCGGCATGAAGCAGTAGAGCCTTCTTGGCTGTTTTACGATATCAAAATTTTGGCATTAACCCCAAAAGCGCCGAGGGCTAGGAGAAAGAATATTTTCCCCCGACAGTTTTTCTGATATTGTCACAGGGCATTTTTCAGTAATATCTTGCAGTCACTTTGATACCACTTGTGTGGAATTCAGACCTGTGCATGCACCAATCACTTTCAGCACCAAGTTTCCCAAGACAGGTCAGCCAAAAAATGTTTTTTTCACTGACTGCTCAGTGCACATTATCATGTGTGGCCTTAACATCAGGTGATAATTCAAACAACAAAATCATGTTGGACTGAGATAAATCATTTCATTTGTTTTGATAATGAGGTTTTTTTTGCATTTTAAGTATAGAAGATCATGTTCTTACCAAGTTCTTTGAGGGTCAAACATGGATGGGGTCAGTTTTGCATTTTAGCCGGAAGAAAAGGGACAAGGAAAATCTGTAATTTTATTTAATTTTTCTCTTCGTTGATAGGACGGTGGCCTCCACCAACATGAACGAGACCAGTAGTCGCTCCCACGCCGTCTTCACCATCGTCTTCACTCAGAAGCGGCACGACCTGGAGACGGACCTCTTCACGGAGAAGGTCAGCAAGCTCAGCCTGGTTGACCTGGCAGGAAGTGAAAGGGCCGATTCGACGGGAGCCAAAGGGGTCAGGTTAAAGGTCAGTGGGTTGCTCCTTTTTCACAGTCACACCTTAAAAGGTCAGTGGGATGAACTTTTGTCAGGGCCACTTGTGTTGAACATTCTATTCCTCTGTATTGTATGGAAACAATACTTTCGTTTCACAATAGTACACCACCAAGAGTTTTCAACGCATTGGCCAATCACAATGCGTGAAATCTGTCGACTCAATGTGCGTTTGGAAAGGGTCCACAGATTTTGTGCGCTGTGATTGGCCAATGCGTTGTCAGCTCTTGGAGGCGCACTATTGTGAATCGCCCGTATTTGACGTCTTTTTAAGGTTCCGTGTTTTGAAAACCACACTTTCTAAAACATTTGTAATCATCAACAGTTTTGTTGACAACTGAGGCCGCAGTTATTGCTACGTAGGGCAAGTTTATCAAGGAAAGTAGTGGTTGGTTTGTGACGTAGGTAGCGCAGGTGCAGTGAAGTTGAAGTGCAAACGACCCTAGTCAATCGTTTTCAAGTCCTTAGGCTGAAGAAGAGAAAAGGTGGCCGCAGGAATGACAAAATTGCAAAAAGAGATGTGAAAAAGGTTGTTTACTGGTGACATGCCGTGTTTCCAGCATTTTTCTTATAACTGGTCCTCTCTGCACTGTGCTATTAAAAACGATTTATTTCAAGCAGCTGATGCGACCAACCTTGATAGGCTGGTCACGAATAGTTGATTGTCTAGTCCAACCATCGTGGACTAGCGTGCATTCGATCAGAGTTACATGTAGTTGAGCCACTTGTATAGTTACATGTAATGTGGTCCTTGATCAAACGTGCCTGTTCAGTTGAAATTATGAAGAGCGCCATCACAAGACCCCAGAAGACCAACCCAAGACCTCCAGTCCAAATTCAAATGAAATTCAATTCGAATGAACTGTAGGGAAGGCATTTCATTCTTGCTGCTCACCCCGTTACCATGGTTACTGTTGTCTGCTCATTTTTGCCTGCTCTTGCTACTACTCTTACATGTACATGTACGTCTTGCCTTGTGATGGTTTTGACTAATAATAATAAAACTGCATTTATATAGCGCATTATGAATTAAAGATTCCTCAATGTGCTTTACAAACAAAAACTTGATCCTTAATCATATTACAACACTTAAAATCATATGATTATAATCTACACATGTACATTTAAAATCCTTAATTATAGAATAACACAAATTAAGCAGGCCAGCTAAAACAGTTGAAGTAATGCCCAATACCTTGGCATTTACCTTAGAACTAGCAATAAAACACCAGTAACTTCAAAAACTATTGAAATCCAAACATACATGAATTCTGATTCAAACTTTCAAGACTTGAAAAGGTGCGTTTTTAGTAAAGATTTAAAATACTGCAAGGACAACAACACCCCCCCCGTGCAAGGATGCTTTCGTAGAGTGTTCTAAGGTTCTGTTGTTTCTTTTCAGTATTAACTTCATGTACATGTGATGACATCTTTTGTTCTTCTTTCTACACCTCCAGGAGGGAGCTAATATCAACAAATCGCTGACTACACTGGGCAAGGTCATATCAGCATTAGCAGAAGTGGTAAGAATGCTATACCTTTTGGTGTGCTTCCTTGTGGCTCCTGTGTAGTTTGATCAGTGATTCAATACGTTGGCATCATTTACTGATTCCATTCAGAAATCACAGTTCTGTCACATCCAACTAGACCCAGTCCAAACCAGGCAAAATGTCAGTCAGTAACATCTGCCTGCATTGAGCATTGCATTACATCGCTGATGATGAATTGCATTCAGATGTTTAATCCCGCTTCTCTACCTAATCTTCCATGCTTGCAGCTTACACAGAGAATTTAAAAAACTCCCAAGCTTGCTCTGTGGTGCATTGCATGCTATATGCTCTATTAGAATCCATGAATCTATTTCTTGCCGAAAATTGGCTCATCTCTGAACTCATGTTGGAATTAACCGCTTATCATAATGAACCAGTGTGGCATTTCAAACAGGCAAAGTGCAGTGTAATTTGAGAATGAGGCATGGGCCCCAACCGTTTGAAAGTCTTCACTGCACTCACATGATCATACCGATGGGCCAACCTTGCACATGCTCATTGACATTCTCAAATGACTTACAGTGTGTCTCATTTTGAGCACACGCTGTTGGAATACGAAACTGGCCCACTGATGTTTGCTGCCCAAGATGAGAATCAGGAATCTGTAATCAGCTACAACAGGGAGCAGATTCTTAAAAAAAAAGTGGAGTCCCGAGTTTCAAATTTCAAGACTTTCTGATTCTATCCCATTTGTTGGCATAATTGCCCAAGCCTTTTCCACATAACCTCAAAATCGATTCACCCTACCTGAACCAAGCAGTCAGTCACACCACCACAGGGTAGTGCTTGTTGCAGCAAAAACAAATGTAGATCACTACTTTTTTGTGCACCGAATACCATAGCTTCCATGAGCTGCTGCTATGGTGCAGAGGATGTAAGAAGATGCACGTGTATTGTGTCAACTGCTATGGAAAGCATTAACCTAATCAATTTTCGGTGTTTTGCTTTTCTAATGAGTTCTAACCTTTTCTCTCCTTTTTCCTTACCTCGAAAGTACGGTAGATTGGACCATTAGCAGTTACGCCTAAAAAAAACCCCAAACGATAACGAAAAAAATATGAAACTTGGTTTTGATAAATATTTCAATAGGCACAAAGCTCCCTGTGAAGTTGTTCCTTTTTGTGTGCTGTCACTTTGAAGGTAGTGATTTAAAAAAAGGTCTTTTTCAAAGATGTGGGAAATAATACATTTTTAGAAATTTCCACCGATATTGCCCCCCCCCCGAATTCCGATTTGTAATTTGGTGAATCCATGAATGCATTCAACAAGCTTTCCCACAAGATTCATACACCCTAGTGCCAGGAGCCATGTGGGGCTGGACGTCACACAACCATAACTACATGTAGCTGAATGAGAATCGTTCTGATGGGGTTTTTTTTGAGGGGGTGCAATGCAATAATTGAGTTGCTGGACTAAACAAAAACTGCATTGTGATGAAATACTTGCCTAATGACAGCTAAAACAAGTTGAACTGGTCAAGTACTGTAATAATGAACCATCTTGCTGCTTTGAAGGCAAAAATGCACAAAAGACAAAAGGTACGCTCTATTAACGGCTATCTCATCTCACTAAGTCTTGGCTCCTGCATCCACTAATGCTCTCTGTGATTTCTTTACTGTTCCCCCAATACTCTCACAGTCTCAAATGCAAGCATCCCAGGTGAGAATGTAGAAGTCATCTTCTTTGTATTGTGGTGGACTTGTGAACTTTGGTGTTTAACCCTAACCCCCAGGGCGTAGGTAAAATTGGACGATTTGGGACTGTTGGGGTTAATCAATGTTGTGGTATGGCATACCTTTTGATTTCATGAGTGCAGTAACTCACTCATGCATGTTATGGAGACCCCCGCTGACAGACACTTATTAGTTAATGCAGGCCTTTGCCCTGTACTGCCCAGATTTTATGCAGAAATGTTCAGCGCTTTCAAAGAACTTGGGAGAAATGATATTGACAAGCTTGCACTCAGGTTGGACAGGAACTGACAATCCTCCGCTAAAAAATGAAGATGTCTTCCTGTTAAACTGCTGCAACGAATCCAGTGTACACAGGCGTACATGTACATGTACAGTGCACATGTATAGTGTGCATGTACATGTAAATGCATACCCCGTACATGCACTGGGATAGGTACGGTGTATATGCACGTACATGTACATGTACCTTCATCAAAAGGCAGATCTCTTTGTCAGTGTTTACATGTCCCCAGCACAGAATTTCCATTTGAAGGAAAAACAGTTTCACTTGTTAATCCCAGTCATTTGCATGTAGCTAAGAATGTGCATGCACAGTGTGCTTCTGTCCCTAATGGACCCAGTGCCATAGACACAGTGCTGCACGCATGCATACAGTACATGTACCGTACATGCACCAGTACATGTCGGTTTAGGGCACAAGACTTGGTGTTGAGTGGCATGTAGTCTGTAGGGATGCTTGATTTGTTCCAGTCTGCAAATTTAGAGGCAACATATTTAGAAAGGGCAAGGCCCTCTGTGGTTGCAAACATGTATCGAAACTCTGCTCACTTTCACAGAAGACACTGAAGGAAACCTTCATGGATTGCATCCAAGAAAGTATAATTTTCTGTTGTTCATTCCTGTGAAGACAGTTCTTGTCATTAGTGATGTGTTGAAGACGTGAGATAAAACTCGATCTCACTAATTTGTCTGAGTGTGGTGGAAACCATTGTTGCCATCTAGAAAATTGCCCTTTATAGTTCAGTGTTTTGTGCAGTAAGTACGTAAGTGTGCAGTTTTTAGTTTAGTTTTGTTGAAGTTGACACTTCGTACAAAGTCACCCACCGTATGCCTGTGTGTTTTACATGTACACTACTAAAAGCAGTAGGGAAAAAAGTATATTATGTGACATAGTTTTCATTCCTCCCTCTGAAATTTTTAGGGAGTGAAATGGAAAATGTTTCTCAAAATATAAAGTAATTTCTTACATTTAGATATGCTCACTGAGGCAAGAGATATTTGTCCTAAAATAGGATTTTTTTAAAACCATTTTCAGCATTTTAAACACATTTTCCTCAACAGTTCTGCCTTGGATGAATTGTAACTTTCCAAAATTTGTTCAATATTTTCCAATTTTTTTACCCCTCCAGGCCAGCAAGAAGAAGAAGAAAGCTGATTTCATTCCATACAGAGACTCAGTACTCACCTGGTTACTCAGAGAAAACCTGGGTGGCAACTCCAAGACGGCCATGATAGCCGCACTCAGCCCAGCCGATATCAACTACGACGAGACACTCAGTACACTCAGGTATGGGCCAAACTCAGTTACTTGTACATCAAACATAGATCATATACGTACATGTGTATTAAACTTCATTGTTTGCCCACTTTGTGTTCAAGCGCCCCTCTGCCATTGGTTTATTGAACAACGCTGTGCAGCATGCAATTGCAATCACTTCACACCCAAGCCCTCTGGAACTCTCGCTTACCTACTGGGTGGTAGTTCTTTCAAAAACAATTGGCGAGTGCAAAGAAGGGGTGCATGTACCGTATGTGTGGCACAGGTGTTCTTATCTGATCAACTTGCATATTTTGGCACATTCATGACATGTTGTCATGATTGTTGTGCCATTTTCAGATGTTGGACACGTTGGAAGACTATTGCTCATGAAAGAATTAGTGACCAAGTGTGATAAACCCTAAGCAAGGGTGATATGTGAGGACCAGGGGCCTCAGTACTCAAGTTGCATTTACATGTAGTACAGCATACTTGTACATGTACCTCGTCTCCAGCTGTGGGCAGCGTTCCGTGCACAAGCACCCCCTCCCTCAGTGAGGAGAGAGAGGTTTTGGTAGTACTTGAATGACATTGTCGCTTTGCGCTCCTCATCCATGAAATGTACTGTAGATGTTATTTGCAGAATTACTCTTGTCCATACCATGAAAAAGCAAGCCCCAGCAGCCCATTGCCGCCAGAGGTGTTTTACTAAGTTAAAAAACTGCCATTTCTTGGTCAAGCAGGCAAACCATGGAAAGCTGTTGTGGACCAAGTTTGTAGGATTAGGAACTGCTGGAACCTGGCTTCCAAAGCAGGTTATGGATGCTGTACAGCTGTCACCTAAGGGATGATGGTCTTTTGCAATTGAACAGGGAGGTTAGAGGTCACAACAACCTGTGTGATTGTTGAGCATAGCAGTTGCAGTAGTAGGTTACAGACAGTCGTCTTGTAATCAGGTTAAGGACAGAGGTCTAATTTCCTTGACTTGAGTACCGTTGCCTAAGAACTCTAGAAGACTTGTGCTTTGCTTCTCTCCCACAGGTACGCAGACCGGGCCAAGAACATCGTCTGCAAGGCAGTCGTCAACGAAGACCCCAACGCCAAGTTGATCCGTGAGCTGAAGGAGGAGGTGCAGCGGCTGCGGGAGCTGCTGATTGCCGAAGGCATCCACATTGACTCGCTGCACTCGGGCAGCACGGAGGGCAGCGGACAGCAGCAACGGATCATCCCCGTGCAGCCCATGAAGGAGGATGCCCTGGACCGGCTGAAGGTCCGAGAAACTTGGCCCCATTCGGGATAAAATTTGAGACGGATTCTCATTGCACGCATTCTCAAGCACATGTTTGCATTTCTTTTAGACTCGCTACTTGTGAAAGAAGCATTTAATGTTCACTTGCCATCTGCTCGTGAGTTAAATATCACAATGGTGCAGCAGAGTCTTGCTGGGCCCAACACCAATATGTAACCCAGCTGTAACATCAAAACAAGTTGGAATGTTGGCGTAACCATTTTTTTGAGAGGATGACCTTTAAAAGAATCTTTCAGGAGCCCTCATTGTTTCACCCGCTTCATGTCCATTTGCTCTAAGATGGAAAACTGAGCAATCCACCAAAATAGACACCTCACTTTGCACTTTTTAAATGCAAACTAAAACAAAATTACTCAAGGTGAAGAGATTCCAAGCTCTTTTTGTGGAATCCACTGACGGAGGACTTGCCACCTCACTGTGCTAAAGTGCAGGGTATGTGCCACTGAACTGCGTTGTCTTGATTTTTGGTGGATGCCATTTAATCAAAAGAAAAACTGAAAAATTTAGGAACCCTTGCCAGATCCTATGATTCACATTGTATGAATATGTCGTCATTGAAATGCTCTTATCCTTTGGTATGTTGTCTAGGAGTCAGAAAAGCTGATTGCAGAACTGAATGAAACGTGGGAAGAAAAGCTGAAGAAGACAGAAGCCATTAGACTACAAAGGTAAGATATCTCTGACTCCACCTTGTCACTACTGGCACTGTAGTCTTGCTTACACTAAAGAGGACAGCACTTGTCAAAACGTTCTGACAGATCCCTACAAATTCAATCGCTGTGGCTCAGCTATTCCCAAGTAATAGTTTATAGTTGCTCCACTGGCACATAAAGCTAGTTCTCTTCTTAATCTTATTAAGTAATTTTCTAGTCAAATGACCTCTGCCTTTGCACAATGAAAATGAAACTTCATAACAGCTGCTACAAACTGCTCACTGGTTGAAGTGACTTTTAAATTCTAGAGAATTTAATTTCCACATTTTTGTAGAATTGTTAGTCGAAAAACAAGTCAATTTTGCGGCATGGTTCCAGTTCCAGTTTATTTTGTGCCCCAGAGCTTCTTGACAAGTTGAAATGCTCTGAATGCCTGCTGATGTCCATTGAGGAGATATTCAATCTGTTCTTCAGTCAAAGGTTGAAGTTACATACATTTCTCTCGTATGAAAACCAGTGGTAGTGTTTTTATTTTAAAAGACAAACTTTTCCAAATAATAGGGAGGAGATGCTGGCGGAGATGGGCGTGGCCATCAGGGAGGATGGTAACACGGTGGGCGTATTCTCTCCCAAGAAGACCCCTCACCTGGTCAACCTGAACGAGGATCCTTTCATGTCGGAGTGTCTTATATACTACATCAAGGAAGGCATCACAAGGTAAGGTAGCTTTTTTCTTAGACCTTTTTGGTCCTGATGTTGTGCATTTGCAATGGCTTTCTCACTGGAAAAGGAAGAAATGCAGTGCAACTATCATTGGTGGGTGTGTGGCCCCAGCGTCTCCTTGTCGCCACACTGTGACAGATTTCTCATCATGGAAAGGCACCGTGGGGTTATGGTCATTCAGACGAAAGTTAAAAGTGGGTACTTCATGCCATGTTATGAACTGGTGCACATGCAGCATATTCTCCACTCTCTGCCCAATAGCATGATGTCTCTGCATAGCCACAATCATGGGTACACTCTTCAATTGGAAAAAAACGATTTTGTTAACAATTTTGTCAACCCCTTCACGCGACTGCTGGCCTGTGGCATGCCATGAGTGGAGGGCTTTATCCAGCAGCAGGCCCCATTGAACCAGCAGCTGCATGGTGAATAGACTGTATGTGTGGTATGCACTAATGCTCACACAACGGTGCGGTAGGAGCAGTCCTCCGTAGCCAAGGGGTTAAATATCCCTTAAAGCTAATTTCCATGACTTCAGTGTATTTGAGTAATCTTGATGCCTCAAGCAGATGTTTCTAAACTAGGAATAGAGTAATTGGTACAAATTTGGCAACAATGTTGTTTTTGAGTATGCTTTTTGGGGGTAAATGGAGTAATAAATCAGGATACAAAATGCTACATGTACGTGTAATACAAGTTTGCTGTGAACAGAATTACTCGAATTCTGCAGTTTGTGTATAAACTTCTTATTAAAGTGGTGTTAAAAAGCTTCAAATATTTCAACATCTAGGGTTAATTCTGCGGTCTTTAGGTTGTAAATTCTGTTTCACCAAATTTGGAATGGGACATGAATAAATTTGGGAGTTCTATGTATGTACATTATGTCTAATCTCTCTGTGACATCGGATGAGTCAAACTACAAAAAATGGAATGAAATGTGACAAAGGTGCGGTGGTTTTCCTTCATTTTAAAAGAGTTCCGCAAATATCCCGACCACTTTGCCAAGATTACTGTGGTACTGAAATTCTATACTGAGTTTGCCGGGATTTAAGTATTTATGGATCATCAGTTGGTATTGTTTGGTAGTGAAAAAAATCGCCATCCCAAGTTCAATTTCTTGGGGCCCATACATGTACCATACTTTGTAGTTCTTACAAAAGTATTCTTTATCTTGACATTCCTCATTTTAACAGAGTGGGACGTTCAGATGCCAATATCACCCAGGACATCCAACTCAAAGGCTCACACATACAGGAAGAGCACTGCCTGTTCACCAACGAGGACTCCCAAGTCAAGATCGTTCCGTTTGAGGGCAGCATGTGCTATGTCAATGGGAAGAAAGTCTCGAATCCGTTACTACTCCGCTCAGGTAGGACACAAAAGAGCCGAAGCTTGCTCATGTCTGGTTGAAGATTTATGGCAGTAACCGTTGGTCACAATGAAATTGATGCCACCAGGATCTTTGGTCCGGTGGTGCCAGTGCAGGACTCGCTTGTGAAAGTGCAGGTGGTGGTTTTTGAACACCACAAGTGCCATGATACTGTACATGGTGCCCCATGGGCATGACACTAAACATGTTTATGTGCATTCCTTTTTTGGGTAAAGATGTCATTATGCTATTTTAAAGCTGTTGCAGAAACATATTTCATGGCTTAGTGAGTAGAGGTAATCATTCTGAAGCATTTTGAGACTGTTAATAAAGTACTGTGTAGACGTTACATGTATATGTACATGTAATAATTTTATGGAATGTTATACATTGTTGATAGCGGTAGGAAAAGAGGATTAGGTAGGGTTGTACGGTAGTTTGCAGATTTGGTCGTCATGTAATGTCAATTTTTTCCAAGCAGGGTGTCACAAAGTCTGAATTTTTCATATAATGGTACCGGTAAGAGTTGCAGACTCGTTGATGTGAAATGCCACTAAAGTTTTTCTGATTAGTTTGAAACTTTGTGTAGAAATGGAGCAACAATCGTCTCAATTACAGTCAAGTTGGAAGAAAAATTGATCACTTTACAGCCCAAACATGCCAAAACAGTCTATTTGTAAAAGGGTCAAGTGAGTTGCTACGTTATCCTGATTGCTGTAGGCTGTCGGGTGATACTGGGCAAGTACCACGTGTTCCGCTACAACCACCCGGAGCTGGCCAGGCAGGAGAGGGAGAAGACGCCCCAGGTTGAGGCCACTTCAGCTGGCGAGAAGGAACCGGTGGATTGGGCCTTCGCCCAGAATGAGCTATTGCAGAAGCAGGGGATCGACATCAAGGATGAGATGGAGAGAAGGTACGCCGAACCTCAGACGACACATTTGCCCTGCTGCATCATTTTTGTCTTGTAATGCATTATCATTTGAAAATTTTGAGTGTAGAAAAGTCACTTTAGGGCACGAATGGTGACAATCTTGGGGGGCAAAAAAAAAAGGTTGTCTGGCAGTCAGAAGGCTTACTGATGTTGGGCTTCAAAGTGACACTGTGAAGTGCTGTGCTTTGTGTCTCAGGTTGCTAGCCATGGAACTGCAGTACAAGAAAGAGAAGGAAGAGGCTGACCAGCTTTTAGAGCAACAGAGACTGGTAAGATTTGCTGTTTTGGTAAGAACAGAATGTTGGTTACCTGCTGGAAGGGTACCAGACATGCCATTGCGAAAAAAATGAACAGTGTCTCCCGTTCCAAGACTTTTGGATTATTTTGCAAAATGAGGTGAACATAATCAGTATTTCGTACAAACTGGGGCGTTGACATTTGGTGCCCATATAAAAAGGTGGGTGGCTTTTCTGCTCATTTGCTGTTATCCTTATTTTTATACACATGTACTTCTCACACACTTGTATGCTATTTGCAAGTGGGAAAATAGTCCAAAACGTCCTTTTGCATGTTGAATTTTTCACCTTTTTCCAAATTCCTAGTTTTATGGTATGTGAAAATCCCTAGATTAAAAAGAAGCACTAAACTTTGTTTTCATTTGACTCTTTGGAACTAATTGTTTATTTGATTGCAAAAACGTTTGGCTTTCGAATGCTCTGCTGCTCCGTTAAAGTTTCCCATGTGCTGTTGCTAATTCTCCCTCTAAATTTCCTCGCCCAGCGAAAGTCTTCGGTGTTTCACCTCCTTGTTTCCTTCCTTCAATCCGCCCTGCAGGATTACGAGAGCAAGCTGCAGGCGCTCCAGCGCCAAGTGGAGGAGCAGTCCCTCCTGTCGGGCAACACCACGCCAGGCGACCTGAGCGGCGAGGACGACGACAACCTGGAAAGTAAGTTCCTGACCATTGTCTTCCTGGCCATGCTGTTCTGGAACATCTACAGCTTCTCGGTCTTTATCGTCTCCTTCCTCTTCCTCGTCAGCTGTTACTTTGTGGCTGTGGTGGAGCTCAGGTGACAGCGGGCGTGGCGGGGGAGGGCGGGGCTTAATGTTTGGTGGGCAGGGACGGCTTGGGTGGAAGTCGTCGAAGGGGATGCCTTTGTTCTCTTGTCGGGTTTTATTTTGTTGGTGGTGTCTGATTATATCTTGTCATTCCAGTTATCGTTATAACAGAACAGTGTTTTCAAGGACGTAATGCATCTGTAAGGACATTCAAAGAAGCTTGTCTAGAAGGAGATGGAAGAAACCTCAATTAAGTGAACTAAGTTTTTTCGGCTTGTATAGAGGTTATACATGCGTTCTGGCATCTCCATGGTGTCTCCGAGGCTGTTTTTGTTATTTTTAATTTAGTTTCAGTGAATGCACAGTGAAAGGCTTACTCGAGCCAATCCCAGTGATACAAAAGTTCTTGCCCTCTGAGGATGCGTTAACGCATAACCTCTATTGGATAGATATCCAGGATCTTAACACACACCCTCAGACCCTGCGCCCAGATTATCTCACGTTGCTTTACACACCTTTGGATCTTACAAGCTGGATATCCTTGGTTGCGTTACACTACTTCAGATTTTGCACCTGGCATGTTACAGTTTTTTTACACATATCTTTAGCTCTGGCACCCAGGATATCTCAGTTCATAATACACATTTTCAGAGCTTGCGCCCAGGCTATCCCAGTTTGTGTCTGTCATGCCTTTCATGCAGGTTCTTTTCTCACAATACATGTACGTTGTGCCTTGTACACCCTCAATGAGTAAGTTCGGTATTCCAACAGCGCGTGCCCAGTATGAGGCTATACGGGAACAGCTACGCGCGCGGGTGCGATTGTCCTATCAGCGTAGCCATACGCAGATTCACACGCACTTTGTTCCCGAAAGATCTTTGCATTTGAGAATACCAGTACTTCCGGGATCCAGGGTATTTGGGGCTGGGTGTTCCGTAAAACCAGCTTGGATCTGAAGGTCATCCGCATTTGAATTGCTCTGTACTGAAAAGATCAGGCAATGGAATCAAGTTTTTCCAAGTTCATGATATTTACTTTCTTTTGTTTGTGAGATTTTGAGTGTGCTCAGAGTGCTCCAAATCTATGATCTGTCTCAAGTGGTAAGACTAGAATCATAGAAGAGTGTTATTTCATTTACATGTGTACTGTACCTTTGTGTCTTGTCTTGCACCAAAGGGCCTTACATGAACCATACAAGTCAGAGTTTTGCTGACTATGGGTACGAAACTGTTTGGCTAAATGGACGGTTAGCAGCCAATTAGATCTCTTCTTCTTTAAGGCATTAGTACCTGTCACCTTGAGTGATGGTCTGATGAGCACCTGTTCAACCAATCGGATCTCAGAAATGGTTTTACAAAGTGTGCAAAAGTTGCTTTTTGTATCAAGTTGTAAATTACGTGTACGAGGATATCTTGCTCTCGCAGCATTGATTTTCCAATTGTAAAGAACTTCTGTAAAAATCAATATATCCAAATCAAACAGTCTTTGTGTGTCCTCAGTATTTGTTTTGGGTTAATGTGTGCCAGACAAAAGTGCAATATTGATTGTGAACGTGTACCAACATTGTTTTGTTTTACATTGATGAATCAAAGATTGAGGATGAATTATTAAGTAATTGGCTATCGGCGATCAATAGCTTGATCATTGGATATTGTGCAGCACTTGAAATGTGAGTGAACCATGCTGGCTTTCCTAGTTTGTAAAGTACTCAAACAACGGGGTTGATATGAGGTAATTTTTCTATTTTCCTAAAATAATTTGCATTCCAAGTGTGTTGCTGAAATGCGTGATAGGTGATAGTGAAAGGTGAGTATGCAAACTGTGAAGTATTTATTCCATTATTAGAGAATTTTCTTCCTTTGCTGTAATTTTTGATACTTCTTTGATATTCCTGAATGTTTTTTCCCGATATCATAAATTCAAAGGGGGGTGGATGATACTGACATTTTGTACATTTGAAAAAAAGAAGCAAATCACCTTTATTTAAAATTGAAACAGTGCCTTGTCACAGTTTTACTCAAGTTTTGCTACATGTACATGTACATGTAACTCAATATGTAACAAATCGCCCAGTGAAATGGAAATGCTACAATCAGTAAAGCTGATAACAAGCATTTTTGTCTCTTTTGGAATTGAACATAAACTGTGCCAGATTTCCAAAGTAGGATACAGAATCTTCACGTCAAATTGTACATGTGACCCTTTGGGGAAAATATTTACGGTGCATTGCTAACATCCAGGCAATCTACATTCCTAGCCTTAAATTGCAGCAGTTTCTCAAGAAAAGCAAGTAAAGCAAGCTTTGATATCTTCCTCTAATATTTAAACATTCATTTATGCAAAGATATGCAATCTATCAACCAGTCATTGGCTTTTTATGTGTAAACACTGAAGCTTCTACCAATCCTTACGTTCAGTACATGTATAAATCGCCAATACCCAATCAATTATGCAGAATTAAAATTTTCATATACAACTCTGACTAGGTTGGAGAAACTTGCAGCTTTGAAAAAGCTACAGGTATCCATTTGAGGCCATAATTTCAACGAGTTTTAAATCAGTGCTGAAAATCTCACCACCAGTCAGCCCAGTGTTGCAGTATTCAAACCCATTTGGTTTGCTTTTCTCTGTACTGATAAATCAGTCTCTTTTAAAATCTTGCCCGCGTGCTTCCTAGGCCTCCATTAAAATGCATTTTAAGCTGTTTGAATTAAGCATCACGGTATGTCAGGGTTAATTCCTGCTCTTAAAGTGTTTCCTTAAATTAAACATTAGGAGAACACTAAAATCCAGTACATGTAATTTCATTTCACTTGAACTGATGCGTTATTTTACATGTCTTAAGATACATGTAAATGTAATCTAAAATCATTCCATTGGCTCACATGTACAGATGTACAATTTACATGTACAGTCAAACTGTTACAGCGAACATTTGAACACATCTAACTTGCCTCTGACATATCAGGTTGATTGAACAGATCTCATTGTGTACATGTACATGCGTTGGGTATTCTCCATTAACTCTATGCCCAATTGCCAGTTGAAAAATTAAAGTGCCCGTGTACATGTGGAGCATAGTCTATAGAGGGCGCCATTACAAGTCGATGCACCAGGTTGCCAAAGGCAGTCACTTCTAAGAATTGAAACCTCTATGGACAATCTTCAAGAGCTTTTCAAAATTGAAAAATCTCATGTTTGTTTCTAGTTTTCAGGTGTTGATTTGGATCTCTTTTGTGTTTCTGAGATTTTTAGCAAAGGTCACCTTTTTTGTTGTTACCTTCAAAAGTGTCCCTGTGTGTTCTTGTATCAAATTTTGTACACAATTGAAATATTAATCAGACCAAATACGAATTGTAAATAAGCATAAATATATTATATACATGTATGACCTCACACTATACTTGATAAATTCTTGATTACGTTGTTAATTTCAGGTACTCGTACTTCTATGTAAATGTGAAATGTTTTGTTTGAAGTAACTTTTTCATCCACCAAAAAGAGATTTTTCGACACGTTGGTCGCAAGCTCAGTATTTAGCATCTACATTGTAAGTTGGTTCTCAAGCAAGGCAATACTGCAGTACTGGAGTTGAATATGGTATAGTCCGGAGCCTTTAACCTCTTGCTGCCGGGATTTCCGGACACATATGCTTTATGCGCATGGCCGGGTCTCCAAAATCGGACAAAGGGAACTGGGCCTTGTAACAAAAGACCAGGCTGCTGGGCTTTAACCAACATTTTTTCAATAGTGGAGATAATCCAGCCTTGTTTTGAAACAGTATACCACGGTTTTGGGCATTGAGAGCAGCGGATTACCACCAGGGACTAAAACGTTCCACCACCACAACGATGAGTCACACAGCACCACTGCACGCTAATCTGGCCCCTATTGAAAAGAGGTCAGCAGTGCACTGTGCCAGGTTCATAAACAAAAAAAGTTACATTACACCACACAATCTGGGCTCTTTTTACAAGGCTACAGGCCTGGCTGAAATACTGGCGTCAATAGATTTTGTCTGTCAGATTAGAGTAGCTGCCAGACAGTCATTCGTGTGGGTGAAATTTTTGAAGAATTTGGAAACTGAAAATCTTGAAATTGTGCCGATTATGTGCGCTGCATTTTTCAAACCACCCGGCAGCAAGTGGCAAATAATGCATGTTTCTCAAAAGACACACATACAAAATGAGGTTTGAAATGTCAATTTTACGTGGAGGAAAAACAAATAAAGCTCGTGTTTCAAGTCATGCCATTCATCAGAATACCTCATCCTTCACAAATTACTTGCCCCATATCAAAATCTCTGTTGCTTATTACACTACAGTGCTAACCTTTCCCAACGGTACATACAATGTACATGTATATGCATTGTTGTTTACAGATCTGTAGTAATTTATGTAATTTATTTGGCTGCTTCATGTACTGTATACCCACCTTTGGGCTTGGCACAGTTTCAGTACTTGTACTCACAGGATGATGCACCAGTCATGATTCAAGATGCCATGTTTCCGGTTTCACCTTCCTTGAAGACATGTTGTACAGTGATGCAACATAGTGAGTGAAGAGCTTTCTAGATAGTAGTTTGCACATAGTTCACCAATGAAACTTCTCAGAACAGAATTAATCAAAATCAGTTCCTTTTAGTAATCAAAGTGGACAAAAGAAAAGAAGCGGTACTGTCTTTTTTTTAAATCAAACCATACACCCATACACAATACATGTAGCTACAGTACAAATACATTTTTTACCCCCAAAAATTATTTGTTCACTGAAAACTGAAATGGAACAAGTTTAAAAGGTTCCATGTCAAGTGACAGAATTTTGGAATTTTAAACAGTTCTTCAGTTGGCCTAATTAATGCGGAATTCCCATGAGGAGCATTTGTCAGTGTGACTGTGGCATATACATGTAGTCTTTGTACTTGCACTATCACAACTGGTTTGCATTGAAGTTGATATTTAGTCCGAATTCCCAAATCTACCAAACTTTGCCATATACCGGTACGCTACAGCGGTACATGTAAACGGTACATGTTTTTGAGACCACTCTCAATTTCCCTAGAACTTGTAAGGGCGGCCAAGGTTTGCAGAAATTTCACCTTCTGGTTGGTTTTTGATTTTACCACCAATTATTCCCAAATGGACTCTTGTTTTGCGGATTTTAAATAGGGTTGTATTTTCCTTTAGTATTTGGTAGTACGTGTGTTCTGGAGTTCTGATACATGTACATGTAGCTGCGTAGGGTTTTTAACACTTCTTATTTTTCTTATTTTTTTACCGATGGCCAGCCATAGTTTTAGCAGCCACCTGTAGGAAAAACACGATTGTGACATCAAAAAAGCAGACCCTATACATGTACATGTAGGTGCACCTTACAGTAAATGTGTAAATACATGTACATATTTGGACCTATCACTCGCCATATTTTTGCCCACTGTTGAATGTACAAATCGCTACATTCATTGATAAATGACTATTTGACTTAAATGTCATAAGCAATTGGGAGCTTTGCTGCTGAAAGGCCTTAAATTTAGTTGAAAATGACATCTTCAATATTATATTTTGAATCATGACTTGTGGATCTCCTTTTTTTATATTTGTGTTGATGTATACATGTTATGTTAAGCAATAAATATTGTCACTTGGTGAGACCGAACAGAATTCACATCTGTTGAGGTTGAAATATTTTTGTTTTGTCAGAAATGTTACCCTCTTGACCTTTGTAGTAGTCACTGTGGGGCCGATGCAGTCCGGCCATTGGATTGCATGTCACTTGCATACACTAGTGTGCCTTTTCATATTGCATGTCTTGGAGTTTACGCAGCCAGTTTTTGATTGAATGGGCACAAAGGGCCGTGCTCTTTTTTCCTGTGTAAAAGAACCCAGACTGCTGCCTCACAGTGGCAATATAAAATGTCCTGTTTGCTGCGAGCCAAACAAAATATTCTACTTGTACCAAACCAATACACCAAAAAATTTGATGTACAATGAACAGGTATTTTTTAATCCCCAAATATTGAAAGATTCATTCATTCTTGTATTGCTCCCGGCTGTGTTGGTCTAGTGCTCGTAATAAGATTAGGCAGGATAGTGCTTGTAATATGCCCAAGTCCCTGGTGTGTTTTAGTGATGCCTCATAGTTGACACGTAGTGATGTGTGTGTATACATGACTGAACAAATTACATTAACATGAATTATTCAGACACAGGAAGCAGATACTTTTTAGGGAAAAGCACTTCATTTATTTTCAGTGGTGTCGAAACAGGTACTGCTTATTCATCATCAATAAACTGCCCCTCCCTTTGTGAGTCAAAATTCTTGAAAAATTACCTGCTGATGAATATTCATTGATTTAGACACAACCAATAGAGTTCCAAGCATGTCCACATGTATGTCCTGCCCCTTTAATCTCCCCGCCTCTCCCAGGAGGCCTTTCCAACAACGACTGGGCAGGAATTTCCCAGAATTCCATGGTACCAAGGGAAGGTGGCCCATTGGTTAGTGGTCAGCATACCGGTTAATTACAGACCGCTGGTCTCTAACCTTGTTTATATTTAGATTCACAGAGGCTTAAGAAATTCCTTCTACCTAGGGAATCCGTAGGCGACATTTTTTTGACCATAAATAAATTAAGGTACATCAAAGAAGCAGAGATACTGTTGTGTATACTCTAGCACTATTTTCAGGGAAACTAATCGGGCATATTGGAAATTTAAGTGTAACTCATTTCTGACACTTTTAGTTCAATGGAAATGCCCATTTATGATTTGAATGCAAATGTTGCTGCAAATGTAATAGGGTCTTGCTGCGACAGAGTCTAAAGCCTCACTGTTCAGGTTTGATAAAATTAATGCATGAATGAAATCGAAGTTGAAATTGTTTTGCTGCTTGGACTCACGTTGTCCTTGTGCCCTTCTTACAAATCGTCAACCAAATGGTATTGGTGAAAAACTGGAAGCTGATTGGCTGATGTCAACAGTGAAAGTGAGCCATCGGATTGGACTGCTGGAGGACTGGACCCCACCAGAGTTGGCCATTTGTTTGTCCCTGTGAAAACCGCAGTCGGCAGGGGATGACTCTTTCTAACATTTGCTCCTGGATATGACGCAGTTTAAATAACCTTTCCTTAGCTATGACCACTTCTCATTTCCTGTTGATATGTTCATGTACTAATACTGAACGCTTTCTTTACCACTTAACCGCTCTCAGGCTAATCATTTTGTCTTGAGCCATGTATTGTCAATAATGCTTTTTTTTTATACCGCCACACTTTTTTTTATTTAAAACAATCTTTTTTTATCATGGTGCCACAGTAATTGTGGGGGACGCTATGTTAATAGTATCCATACAATTTCTTTAACCCTTCTCAGATTTGTAGATTTACAAGACAGAATTGTTTTTTGTTTTTATTGTGCCAAAATTATTGTCAAAGGGCTTTAACATTAATGCAATACTCTCGTTTTAACAGTTTACTATTTACAATTTACAGTTCAGAAATTTCAAGAAGTTTGACCTAATAGTGGACTGCGTAGATGTAGGCGGATGAGTGGCTCGTTTACCGGTGGTGTCTTTAGAAATAATCCCTGCTGTTTCCTAAAAGTCTTACAAATTTCCGGTTTATTTGTTGCCAGAATGTTAAAATTTGTTAGAAAAAAATGTATTCAAAAATGTGTGATACCATTACTATGAGGCCAGTCCTGTTTTGACTCATCTGTTTTTCTGCAGCAGTCTTGGTAGTTGTTTGCAATGAATATTTGTGAATGTCTGGTCTTTCCATGTACATGTATCTTTTTTTTTCATGTCATTCTAACATAAACATTGAGGGAAGAAGGATTCCATTTAAACATTGCTGAGAAAAGTAACATTGCTTTGTCTCCCATTAACAAGGGGTATTTTGTTTTTCTTTACTTCATTTCATTTCCATTTCCTTTATTTTTTCCCAATAACCAAGGTCACTTCTTATGTTTTTTAAATTTTGCCTGTGCTCATAATATAGCAGAAAAAATTTGCAACCAAACAAAGGAAATATTGCTGAGATTGTTTTGAGGTCTTTCCCTTCCCTGAACATGCTGAAAGGAAAATGATGATTGCGGAATGGAAAGAGGTTGACCTCAAATGCAGCAGCCAGTTGTACAGGGGGCAGGGAACAAGAAAAGTTAGCTTGGTGCGAGGGACAGACTCTAGTTGCAAAATACTACTTTGTCATTTATTTGTTGGGTTACCAGACCAATATGGCTGCAGTGCAGATGTCAATTAGCCCTGTCCATTGTTGGTAGCTGCCCGTGTTTGTGTTCATTTCAACTGTTGCTTGTGTCCAGGAGCAAATTTAAGAGGGAGCATTCACCTTGCCAGCTCAGTTTCCATGGTAACAAACTTTGGGCTGCAATTTGATATCTTAGTACATTATGGGGGAGAAGGTAAGCTGTTTGCTCCTTCTTTGTTTGCTCCAGTAATGGAGTTGTTTTTCCTTATTTTGTTAATAATAAATCATTAAATCTGAAAAAAGAAGATGCAAAAAAAGACGTTTTTAATCTTACCCGAAATTAGTTGAAACTGTGTGTAATGTACTTGTATGTAGACAACCTGCAAACTTGCAGATGAACGATTTTTTGGTTGAAAGTGAAATGGATGACAAAACAAGTATTATAAAAATTGAAAATCTTGCCATTGTGTAAAATTCAGTTGTAGTCGGATGAAATAATTTGAATTTAATGTGCATTGAGTTTGATTGTTCTCAGGGAGTGAAAAAATGAATAGGAATGCATTTTGTGTACAGTTGGAGCAAGGATTATTTTTATTCTAGACAGAAAGGATACCATGTCAAGATCTTTAAGCAGGAATGACTGTCATTGGTTGTACTGCAGTTTCCATATGGCTTAGATGAAAGTAAAGGTTGAGGTGATCAAGTAAGTGTAATTCATGTTGTCTTTATTGTTGTCTTTGACCAGGTCATCAATGGACACCAAGGGAATACGCTTTGGCGAGCTGGGTGGTCAGAAAGTGGCGTTACTACCGTTTCACTTCAATCAGGGTAGGTCGACTTGCCCATTTCAATCTGAGGTTTTTGAAGTAATGGACCATAGTGAAATACTGGCTGCTCTGGGCGGTATTGTATGTAATAGAAGGTTCAATAGTCCAAAGCTTCATGTAGCCATAGGATTAATAGCCATGAAGTTCATTCACCAGAAAATACATGTAGATTAAGGCTAATTCATCCAAAGGTTCATTGGTCTAAATTGACAGTTAACTTCATTAATCCAAATTGACAGCATAGTTCAGTTTGTAAAATAGTGCTAAGTTATTCAGGGAAGGTGAAAGCTAAGTTTAGACTAATGAACTGTACGTGTGCAGTATGTGCTTTTGGATTGGTGAACCTTTGGACTGTTGAACTTTGTGTTGATTTCAGACTTTTGAACCATTGACAGAATAAAAAACCATTTTCTAAATTTAACTGTTTAAATTTGCAATTATCGAACCTTTAGACTATTGCACTGAGTGTGGGGATGAACGAATATTTTTTCATCTTCACACAAGGTTAATTCCAGAAATTGTAGGGTCCATTTTTTTCATGTTTTCATGTTACATCTGACATATGATTTTGTAAGTTCAGAACACATTTTCTAATTTCCAAGAGTAATGATTTAATGCAAATTACCTGCCAAACAAATAGTAATAGTTTGAAATCAATTCTGGTGATATTTCCATGTCAACCAACAAAGGTCAGATGTAACAGGGACCAAAAATGTCACACTTTTGGACCCCTAAATTCTGGACTTACCCACTAATTAATCCCTGGCTGTTGGAACTTTGTGCCTTTGGACTATTGAACCTTTGACTAATGAATGCTTGACTATTGAACCTCCTGACAGCTGAATAGGGCTAGCCGGTGATCTGCTGAGGTGTTGTTTTGTTGAATATAACCCACACTTGGGACCAGTTCCCGCTAAACATAATTCCTGTATTCAGTGGTTGATTGAAATCCCCAATACTTTCCTGTAATTTTCTGTATTCAGGATGATCTATGGGGCAATGCTATCTTCCTAAAGGAGGCCAATGCTATAAGCGTGGAACTCAAGAAAAAGGTATGTACATGTATATAGTACTTGAGGTCCCTTCACATGACAGAACTTGTAATTTCTCAACAGGATATTTTGTAAATAACTACATGTATGTACTGTACATGGCCATGTTGATCCTATAACAGAGTGTTGCTAAGTCTTCTTCGATGATATATTAATCCTGAGACGGCAGAACACACAAATATAACAGATTTTTAAAAATACATATATATAAGTTTAGACACATGTTCATGTCCTGACTTTGGAATGAGAAGCCATCGTCTGCCGGAAGAGCTTAGAGGTGTATGCTGTGCCTCTCAGGCTGGACCAAGAGAGGGCGCTGTTTTTAGGAACAGAGGCTCCTTTGGTCAAAACTGAGCTTTGCTGGTTCAAGAACGACTATGAAATGCCTGTGTTATGGTCGCATCGCTACTAACAAAATAAACACTCCCCACCAATATGGCTCTTTTCAACTGATGACGGGGTGTTTCTGCTGGAGGTGGATAGCCCCAAAGGCGAGAGCATGCTTACATGTATTTTCATATAGTTTGAAATAAAGCCCTACAATCAATTTCAGTGTCAAAGACAAAGTCAGTATTCAGACACAAAAAACCCCACCAGACTGAGCCATAATCTGCTGTCTTATGTTTCTGGTGTTCCCCAGGTGGAATTCCAGTTTGTCTTGCTGACGGACACCATCTACTCCCCGCTGTCGCCCGACCTCCTGTCCAGCGCGGACAATGCCGACATCTTGGAGCGTCCCTTCCCTCGCACCGTGGTGGCTGTGGAGGTTACGGACAAGAAGAATGGTGCCGTCCACTACTGGTCCCTGGAAAAGCTCAGGTTTGTTAACCCTATCCCCCCCAGGGCCGTTTTGCTGGGCACCATCTTCAATCCTTCAAAATCCTTTTGATTATCCATGTATAAAAACTGCATTCATCCTCAATCCTCCAAAATCCTCCAGTATGTCTTGAATATGCTCCTTTGAGGGGTTCTCACTGCCTTAATCCTTCATTATCCTCTGGCAATTCCTGTCATGATGTTGAGGCAGTGCATGTGTTATCTTGGAGCAGTATGGAGGCTTTCACTTATAATAGGTGATAGAGTGTGGGACTTGTCAATCCAGTAAACACCAAGCTCACAACCAGAGTGAACATTGTGGATAAAACTGTGTGGACAAAGTGGCGTTCAGAGTGTTTTCTTGATGGTGTGCTGTATGTGCTTCTTATGATCTCTTCATCAGGAAACGCCTTGAATTGATGCGCGAGATGTACGACAATGCCGCCGATGCCACGCCCACAACACCCGAATCACTGGGCTTTGAGAACAGTGCTGTGACCTGCCGGGACCCCTTCTACGATAGGTTCCCGTGGTTCCGACTGGTTGGAAGGTGAGAGAAGTCATAATCATTCAGCAGTGTATGTTTGGAGCTTAACCTCGGAACGACTGTTTCAGATGTGCAGAGATCATGCAGTTTATCCTCTCGTTGCATAGCTGCTTGAGGGCGCTGCTAACCTGTCCATGCTTTGTTTCATGGTAGAAATCCAGTTGCTTTTTCCGTAAACCTTGCCCTTTTTGTGTCTTGAGTTTTGGTCTTCAAGCTGAGAGACATCACAAGACAGACAGCTCACTTCTTTTACATTGTTGATTAAACTCTGTAAGATAAATGCACAACTTTTAGGCCTTAGGATATTAACCCCTTCGCTCTGGGAACTGCTACTACTGTACCGTTGTGTGAGGATTAGTGCATACCACACATACAGTCTATTCACCATGCAGCTGCTGGTTCAATGGGGCCTGCTGCTGGATAAAGCCCTCCATTCAGGGCATACCACGGCCCAGCAGGCGCGGTCAAAATAATCCCGCCATGAAGGGGTTTATGACTGTTATAGTTAAGGCTGTTCGTGGGTTATCATCGTCAGGCCTTGCGCTAACTTTTTTTTCCTGGCTAGCCAACTGGGCTCGTTAACTGGATATTTTACTAGCCCGTTCAGAATTTTTCTAGCCCATATATAAAAAATTAAGAAACCCCCAAAATTTGTAATCAGCTTATTTATGGAGAATTCTACACTTCAGAAAATTAAAGGCTGACGGTATAAATAAATAGAGAGACATGTATGTTAGTTAAAAGTCGCTTGAGTCGCTGGTTACCGAGTCAGGATCAAAATCATCTAGAGAGTTTCTTCAGCGGAGCTGCCAGAGTCACTGCCGTGAGATTCAGCCTGCTCTTCATTGGAAGAGCTGTTACTATCTTGGACCCACAGGGCTTGGGGGTCATGTTGTGTTGATCCTCATTGATCCATCATGTTGACCCTCATTTGGGTTACTTACGTTTGGCAAAAATCACCACATTTTGCTTGCTTTTGGACCTTCGAACATGTGCGGTGAATGGGGAAAACCTTTTTTTTTCACTCAAAAGAGGGCGCTGTTTGCACGCTGCTTTGTGTAGACTTTGTATCAAACGCTTTCAAGGACTCCTACGATGGCCAGTACAACTATGGTAGCTGTGGCCAGTTAAGATTAGAAAAATTGATAAATGATGTGAACGAGAATACGGAAGGTGCACGTGCGGTGCCTCACCGTACCATGTGCTATGCTATATACATGTACCACAACTCACCAGTCTACTCTGCTCGTGGCGTTTGCAGTTGGTTATCGCCCTATCGCGCGAGTATCACTTTTTTGAAAACACAAAAATACATCCACAGCTACTAAGCCTTTGTGATAGTGTAGTCATTATCACCAAAGTTATTATATATTTTGATCTAAATTTTAACAGGTAGGTTTAAATCTGAATTTTTCACTAGCCCACCAGGCAACCAAGGAACCAAGTTTAGGTAGCCCAGAGCACTTTTTACTGTCATTTGTATGCCAGGCTAGTACTATTTTGAGGCTTAGGTTCCTGCTAATGATTAACATGGTTGTTTCTGTTGACAGAGCTTTTGTGTACCTGAGCAACCTCTTGTACCCGGTTCCCTTGGTCCACCGTGTGGCTATCGTCAATGAGAAGGGAGATGTGCAGGGCTACCTGCGCATCGCTGTGCAGCACGTTGCACCCGACGAAGAGGCGCCAGACTATGGATCAGGCGTGCGCCAGTCTGGGACGGCCAAGATAGCCTTTGATGATGACGAGTATTTCCAGCGAAAGGTGAGTCTCCGTACCCGGTTAACCTGAAAAGTTTTCAGCCATCTCTTACCTGGGGGGGGGGATGGGTAATGACCAGTGGTCATTAACAGTGACCAGTGGTTATTAGTTATGACCAGTCTTGTTCATATTTGATACCGTAGCATTATTGATAAAACATTATTGAGTTGTACATGTACATCTAGAGGTTTCAGTTCACTCCGGCAAGGGTTGTTGCTATGGTCATTTTTTGTTCAGTCCATCACACGTGTTGTCCAATGTGCATAGAGCATGTATTATTGGGAAAAGTTGTTATTTTGACCCATCTGTCTGGAAAAAATGGACATTTGTGTGAGAGTGGCAGTTTCAATAGAATTGATATCAATATTGACATAGAAGTCAAGACATCATAGGAAAATGCCTGAAGGCTTTACAAAGTGCATTGCAGGAATACCAGAGGAAAAGAAATTGATGCATGATCTCCCACTCATTCTTTTTAGATTTAAGATGACTTGCCTTTTTTCCTTTCTGCCAAAAGGTATCACAAGCGGCCATGTTTGGGTTCTTAATTTTACAGTGTTTTAATATTTCCTCAAGCGATTTCAGTGAATTTGACATCCGAAAAATATTTGTACTTGCAGTTCAAACGTAGCCCAACTAATCTGAGCCAGTCAGTGATCTCAGAGGACGAGGTCAGGATTGTAGAGGGACAGCGAGAGAACTCCGACCTCGGTGAGATGAATTTATCAAATGGTTGGTCTTGTGGAAGGAGATTTAAGAATTGAAAAGGGCAAGGTTTGAGGGAACATCATACAGATTGGGGGGATTTGGTTGGCAAGGCCCCCCTCCAAAAAACATTTGTCTCAGGTCAGACTGATGTTCCGGAATCGATGCGATGACGTGACTTTTTTTTTTCTCCAGAGTTAGATTGTACAGAAAATTTCAGACACACGTTGTCGAGTCTTGGAACTAGACCAGCCTTATTATGATTATAATCTGACTACAAAAAACTTCTTGTCTATAGTGTGCTATCATTGTTCAACATCAATCTCGTCAGGATCTATCACCCCGAGTAAAAGATTGATCTACCTGCAAAAATCTTGAGACAGTGCAGCAATAGAGGGCACTGTTGCAGCTCTCGCAGAGAAAAAAAGACTTACGTGCATGCTTGAAATCGTGCTGACCAGAGATGAAAGACTTTTGGGGGGCCAAAGGATAGATCCCACACAATTTTGGCTGGACCGTTAACGATCTTTTTGATACCCAAAACTATACAAGTGAGACATTGAGTTTTTCCGTGAAGTTTCAATTCAGCCTGACAAAGGGTTTTGTTGTGAGTATTAGTGCTCACACAGTCATCTATGTTGTTGGCCCGTGCATTGAGCTCATGTCGGTGGGAGTACTAATTTCGTTTTTTGCTGACAGTGCCTGTCTTGGAAAAAGAGAGCTTTTGCGGCAAGTCCAATTTTCATAAAAGCTTCAGAAAATTGTTTACTTCTCTTTTGGTTCTGTGACATATATGTACATACCCCTTTATAATAAGTCTGTTGCGTGTTAAGTTGAATAAAATCTGGTACATTGAGTTTTTAGAATTCAAGTAGACATAAATTGAATTTCCATACTAAAGACACTGTTCCTATTGTGACTTGGGGCAAGCTTTTGCTTAGTTTCATGTACATGAGAGATGCCTTGCACCAATACACTGGTTTCATTGGATAGGAAAGGCACAAAGGAACCAGTCCATTCCAGAGATGGTGGTCATTATGCAAAAGCTTGCCCCGAATCATGAGGTATAGCAACAGTGTCTTCAGTGTGGGGAAATCAAATTGTTATGTTTATGTGCACTCAGATAACTCAGTGTACCAGATTTTATTCAAATTAATCTTACTAATGGCTCATTACCCCCCCCAACATATGCAGTCTGTGAAAGGTTTGTGATATGGAAATGAGTAGGATCTCTTGAGTCATGTTTTGCTGACAACTCTTCAGATATCATTGAGAAGCAGGACATTGAGGCCATGAGCACCACGGAGAGCATGACGTCCATATCAACTTCACTAGACGTTCCCGAGAATGATTCCCTCAAGCTGGGGTTGACGTTCACGTTCCGCGTCACCGTGCTACAAGCTTCGGGGATATCCTCCGAATACTCTGACATATTCTGTCAATTTAAGTAAGTTGTGCTGTACTTACTGGCTCGGAAGGTTATCTGGGACGGACAAGTGGTTCATTTCATGAGCTTTTAAGCTAGTTCTGTGAGGATTATATTTGTATGTGAACTAAGGATTCTCAAAATCACATGGTCGCTTTCAGATACAGCTTTGCAATTTTTCATAGAAGTAGAGAGAAGCTCAGGATGAAGGAGAACAACTTTTCTGTGGTGCATAGCTGTGGCAACTGTAAATTTTTTTTCAAAGCTTGCTCTGCAAAACTTGAAGGGAGTTGCAATTTTGGGAAATTGTTTTCCATTGATTTGTCCATATTGCTTTCTCATTTCTGAAAATGCTCCACACCCTATCAAAGCTCTTCTTCTCGTAGAGATCCGAGATTTTGTTTCCAATGAGCGAAAGACCAAAATTTCTTTTCATGTGGAGCACGTGCAAAAATACAGTTTGATTGACTTCTTGAAACTCGCCTTCTGACTTTTGATTGGTAATGCGTTATGATACCCACTTTAAGTACTTTCAAGAAACTTGATCTATTTAAATTGCAGCTCGTGGATTCTCTGGCTTGTCATTAAAAAGTGTTTTCTCCAAACTAGTTTGAAAGCTTAAAATTCAACAATTGGGCCTCAAATCCAGGGAGAATGTGTTAACAGAAGTGACTTACCGCACCTTTCGAATGAAGCGTAGCGCTAGATTGAAATCATTGTCAGATTAGAAATCTGGTGACAGGTGGGCGCAAAATTCTCCAAAGTGGACCTCATGCAATTTGGCCAAAGTGTATATTGTGGTGTACCGTCCCAGTGGAAGTCCAGCAAGAGATTTTATTTTGCAGTCATTTTTATGAAATCAAGGGTTTAGGGACTTTTGGAGTTCTTTATGTTTTTTAAAGAAGGGAGATGAATTTTCCTGTCACATTATTAAAAAGAAAAAAATATAAAGGCTCCTCTTTTGGGAGGGGGGATTTCAAGCTCTGCCCTTGCATGAAATCAATTTCATGTGTCATTCTAAATTACATGTAAATGTAGCTCTTTGTGGAAGGAGATTTCCAACTATAAAATTTTAAAAAGTCAGTGGTACTAAATACTGGAACACTTGGCACCATTGTTGCATCTGACTCCCTTCCCCCACACCGCTTAGCTTCCTCCATCGACACGATGAGGCATTCTCTACGGAACCATTGAAGAACACGGGCAAAGGCCCACCACTGGGCTTTTACCATGTCCAGAACGTAAGTGGGTTTTTCCCCCGCTGGTTGTACGTGCAATACGTGTCCGGCCACGGAAAACAATAAGTTGTCGCCTGCAAGAAACCACTTTGTGTGCCGTTTCTCTTGTGTGTGCCTGATTGTGTCTGTGTGTGGCAGGGGACATGGCATTGTGGGTGGGGATGGGGGCTAAGGCACCTGGATTTGTGCATCCATCAAAATGGTTTCATTGTTTTATTTACTGGTACAAACCAAAAAAAGTGATTATTGACAAAGTTGTACTTGATAATTGGAAATTACGAATAAGATGTTTTATGCAATAAAGCACTCTTTCACCCACCCACAAGGAATTCAAAGTTTTACCTGCCCCGACCACACGCAGATTCAAATATACTATTTTCACCATACACCTCTTTTCCTTTGATTTTTTTTCCTTTGGACATTTGGACACCCTGTCATCGTGCTTGCTTCACAGTGGCTTGTTAAGCAAAACCAAGGAACTATTATTTTTAAAGAGATCAAAGAAGAAGCAAGTTTATGACTGCGTTGTGTTCCTGCACGGCTTTTTTCGCTATTTTTTGGTTCTTGTTTTCTTTTCGTTTCCTTTTCAACTCCGCAGCCTGCTTCATGGGCGCGAGGCCTTTGTCACTCAACCCGTGCAGAACAAGGTTCAGGGGGGCGGAGCCCCCCTGGGTTTTTACTTTGTGCAGAATGTAAGTTGGTACATATTTGTTATTGACGGGGGGGGGGTTGAAACCAAAAAAAGATCGCTGAAGCTGTGGCAGAGACGAAGATTTTGTGTTGAAAAGATTTATGGTTTTCATTATGTTTCATTTTTATCCCATTAATGTTTTCTTTCTGTGATGGTATCAATGCCATGATTTAGTCTGTAACAGAATTCCGTCATAGCAACCACCAATGGAACACGTGGAATGTTCCTCCATAATCCTTACGAGGCTGAATCCTCTAGATTTCAGTACAATTTTACCCACACCTTGGGGAATTTAGGCTAAGAACTCAAGTGAAAAATAGACACGGTCACCCTCATTTTGAAAGGGAATGCAGGGAAGAAATAGATTGTTTTTCTTAATTAGTTCTGGTAATGACACCTTGGGCACCTTAGGTAATGACACCAAAAGTGCCTTGGGCACTGTACATGTAGCTCATAAGCTTGAAGAAACCTGCAGCGAGGAGGCATTGAGAAGCAGTTACAGTGTTTAAGGTGGGAGGAAAACCCCAGAGGAATAGAATCTGGGTAAAACCCACGGAATCAGGTAGGGACTGAAAACCCAATCCACGTGTGGACTGAGCCGGGACTCAAACACGGACTGCAGAGGTGGAAGGTGAGGAAAGAACCACTATGCCAACCTGAACCCCCCCCCATTGGAACTGTCTATTGGCATGATTGGGTATATGATGCCACACCGTCCAGAAATTTCCACTGATTTGTGTTACAACTACAGGCTAAAACATAAAAGCACAGGACAGCACCTTTTCGCTCGTGATGCTGTGCTGTCAATCTTGTATAAACCCAGTTTTCAGAGAAGCCCGGAATTAATATTCAGAGAGGTTTATTCACCTTACATCTGCCCTCAGTTCATCCACATTTGGCACGGCTATTGATGATGCAGAATCGTTGAGCCAAGCCCCTGTGACATGACTCAGGTTTTCAATGTCCATATGTTCAAGAAGCTTGAAGAATGTAGAATAGAGGATTTTTTGGAGGAGTCAGAAAATTCCTAACCAAAATGCCAAGGAGTTAGTTTTTAGAGACAAGGAAACAAAGAAGAAAAATTGTATACAGTTTGTGTTTGCTATGAGGGTTTTCTGTTTACCATTTCAAGGATTCAGCCATGGTCTCTATATCCTTTCTCGCACTGAATTCATGATATAGTTCCATTTGCATTTATAGTTGCAATTGGAAAGTTTTTCTAACATTTACATTGCTTTTGTTGTTTTTGTATTAACGTTAAATGCATAATTTGATTCATTATACATTACCATTATTTGAGTTCTTCCATTTTTAAAAATTTGCATCACTAAAAGTAGATAGACTCTTCACCAACTCTTTCCGCTGTGGGTTGCGACAAGTCTGTGCCCATTTGTGAATAGAGTCAGTTCTGATTTTGAATCAGTTTGTCGCGAAATGTTGTAGTGCACCAATTTTCTTCATTTTACCCTGGCAAGGGAATTGTACAGTCATTTGCAAAAGTTTAAGACCACCTTGAATTTTCTATGTATTTCTGTCACTGGGCCTGCATTACATTGTCTCATTGACTGATTACTTAACATGATTTTACAGTGGTGCATAACATTAGTGTAGTGCTGTATACCCATTTAAATGAAATTTTTTGCAAAGGCAGGTCTTGTATGACATTTTGTCTACAAGGCAGCATGGGTGAAAAAAGCCAGTCTAAGCACTCAGAAATAAAGGAGGGCACACTGAATATTAGACTGTTAACATGTCAAATCATGGAAATGTAGTCAAAAATGTTCAACCAAGGTACTAAGGTTACACATTGAAAATAAACATAAGTTACCATGATTGATTGGTTTGAGTTCGGTTTTCCTTCAGGTTAATGCATTTTCTATGGGTGGTCCTAAACTTTTGCAAATGACTGTAGTCTTCGAATGAAATCCCAAAAGTCGGCCTTTTTGTATATTTTATTTGGACACAGGCCTCGATTTCCTGTTTTGAGTTGACAAACGTAGAATGATTAGATCTAATGTTGTAGTCGATGCTATCAAAGGTCCCTGCAAGTTGGTCACAAGCATACTGTTTCAATAAAGCAAAGTCACAAGCTTAGCTACAGGTAGTCACTTGAACTCTAATAAAGCATTCCTTTGCCCATTCACCCTGTTTACCTGTGACAGGTCTCATGAAAGGACTCTTAATGGGCTCGACTACAACACTGATTGTGTAGTCATTTTGTACTGCGCTGCTTGTGTGCATAAAGCAATGGTTGTAGATGCTTACTGAATTTTCTTTTTGTATTTTAGCACCTCTTTTAATTTATTCGAAAATACCCAACATTTCCTGTGTATTTATGTGACATTTACAACAGTTACATGTTTGATACAAAGTTTTTGAAGCTCTGAGAAATCCACCTTTTGTTTCCTATCCCCCAAAAAAGTAAAATGGAAAAATATTGTCTTCAGTTCAAACCTTTTGTTCTTCATGTTGTAAACCAGTTACAAAAGCAGATCCTAATAAACGTCATAAAGTGCTTTAAGATAAATTTAAATATGAAATCTTAGTGTTTGGTGTGCATCAAATTGACCTCTCTGTGCCCACCTATTCCCGTCTCTCAGATTTCAGTGACGGTGACCAAGGCCTTTCTTGACTATGTCCGCACCTCGCCCATCGTCTTTGAGGTCTTTGGCCATTACCAGGCCCACCCGCTGCACCACCAGAGCCAGGAAACAACCAGGTATACACCGTCCTTAATCTGATTCTGAAAAGTCTTTGAAAATTTATTTCCAACTGCACGTATTTATTGTGCAACCGGATGTGACAAGTTCCCTTTGAGGCTTATAGAGGATTTGCATGGCTGCCATGTTGCAGGCCAGTACTTATGTTTCTTAGGGTATCCACAAAGGAAGTTTCCCTGTGAAACAGTAACAAGTCAATAGTTGGTTACAGGATATTTTAGGAAAGTAAAGCCCGACATTTACCTAAGCACTTAAGTTTATCAGTGTCCACTAAATTGATCGAGCTTGCAGTTAACCATGCCCATGTATGATAATTACCCCTAACCTTCCTAGGAAAAAAAATTACACGTTTAGGACAGGTTTGGTGCATACACAGACCAGTGTTTCTTCCATGCAAGTACACCGTCAAATTCTCAGATCTGTTCAGTCTAGTAGACCGTGTTTCAGTTTTTAACTAGCATTGTTAAATATTCCAATTTGTTAAAATGTAAAATATTTTGTTTCTTTTGTGGCAGATTGCGACCATTGAAGCGGAACTTCCCTGCCAGCCTTCCTCTTGCCAGACCAGGTAAGCCTGTTAAAAAAAAAGCTGATTTTCCACTGTGCAATGTTCTCTTGGTGTTTGGCACCATCATTTTTTTCAAAGAGCAATCCTGTGATGAAGCGGATATTGAGTCTTTACTGATTTTACTCATTAACTCAATTTTCCATGATCTGAGTGAGTAGAAATTGAGTTCCAGGAAAGTACTGCTCTTTTGTCCATGTTGATCATACAACAGTTACATGTAGTTTGATGCAAGAAAAATGTAGAGTTTAACTTGTAAACTGTGGTTGCTGTTTACCGACTAGTTCCATCCCCTAAGCTTGGCCTTGTCAGCACGCCGAGTACCAGTCATCTCCACTCACGCCACGACCTGCTTGTGTTCTTCGAGATCTGTGAATTGGCACCATCTGGAGAGTGAGTGCACAGAAAAATTTGAATTGTTCCCGATTTGTTGGGGGGGGTTAAAAGACCTTTTATTCATTTTGAATATCAATTTTACTTAGTTAAGATGGTGGTTTCTCGTGAGCTGGCATAATGCTGGTCCAATGACCCTCAAAAACCCTCCTAAACATCCACAGATAAATACCATCATATTTGTCGATCGTAAAGTTGGAAAATGGTCTCTCCATGGCAACCTCTTGGTGGCGCACTGTTTTGTGAATCACCCGTATTCAAAATTCCTGTACATTGTAAATTCTTAGGTACTTGCCAGCGGTTGTCGACCACAGCGACGAGTTGCCGTGCAGCGGGGTGTACCTCCTACACCAGGGGATCCAGCGGCGCATGGCCATCACCGTCATCCACGAGTCCACCAACGAACTCCTCTGGAGAGACGTCAGGGAGTTGGTAGTCGGTAAGGAACGCTCGGGGATTGTTTGCTGTCACGGTCACTGTCTGTGTCTCGATAGTGGAGTACCTGACTGACCAGTGCATTTCTGTCACAATGACCTTGTATGGGGTGAAGTACATGTTTATTGGCAACAGGTGTGGTCCACAAAAATGAGACATTCAAAACATCTCCGGCCTGACACCCCCCCACCTGAAAAATTTCTGGCACCTTTGTATTTCAATTAACTGCATTTACAGGTTTTTGTTGTTATAAAGGGTAATTTGGTGCTTTTGTATTTTTATGCTGGTGCAAATTTTGCATATTCATGCAAAAATATGTGACGTCATTCTGGGCAGAAAACCTAAATGTTACATTGATTCATGCACAAAAACTGCTGGACATGTTGCTGTTGTAACTTTGAAGTTACTCACTATATGTGTAAGTGTACACGGCAGTGAGCCATCATGCATCCATTTCTCAAATTGATATCTGTGAGTAAATGTTTTATTTCCAGTTTTAACAGAAAAACATATAAACCGAATAGTGTCTTCCCTGAATGACGTCCCAGCTATGGTGCAGCGCCCTCAGTTGTCCAGAAGGGCGTGGGCATTCTGACTTATTTTGAACATTCTGAATCTGTTTCTAACCCAAAAGGGATTAGAAATGTTATTCATAGCATGTGCCCCTTGAAAGTCCTGTGTATCCAAATCAATGTGTACCATAAAGATCTCGTTTGAACCTTCGTCAGAGGTTATTCACGTAATGTAGCATGACAGGCAGACATTTTAGGAAGCGTACCACGTCCCTGGAGGCACATGCATTTTCGAATCAGTGTATTATTTCTATTGGCAGTTTCATGTATGCCAGAATGTTGAGAGACTTTGAAAGTTCAATTTACAAGAATATGCACGGATACACGTGAATGCTGAGCGTCAAAAAATCATGTGACTGAAAATCATGTCTGCAAGGTTGTATCCTATGTATCATGTTTATGATAATGAAGCAGAGAGTTCAGATTCATTAATTGGCTTGATTGTAATTGATCATGCTTGTTGATATTGTCTAGGCCGTATCCGGACAACCCTAGAGGTGACAGAGCCAGACCATGAGCTGTCGGTTCTGTCGCTCAACCTGCTGCCCGCGATGTACATACAACAGCCAGGAGATGACAGGTAGGCATTGCTGGCAACTCCAGCCAGTTGCTGGAAGATTGGTCTTCTCGACGTGACCACTTGGGGAGAGTATTGTTCCACAATGAACGTGCCCTGAACGCTGTATTACATGTACTTTCAGTTGGAAAACCCTTAACTACTTAAAGCACCAAATGCCACAACTACAGCACATTACAGGGTTTTTCTCAATCAAGTGCTGACACTCGCTAATCATTTTTTCAAGGATTTGCAGCATATCATCCGCTTTATTGCTTGTTTGGAAACTCCAAGACATTATCCCTGAGCAGCCGTATTGTAGTCGAGACCACTTTAAGACCTTCACAAGACCAGCACAAGACCAACCAAAGACCTTTCTGAATTCAAGTCACTAGCTGTTTAAATGAACTGCAGCAAAAGCATTCCTTTGTCATTGTTCACCCCGTTAGCGCAAGTGTGACTGGTCTTGTGATGGTCTTGTGCATGGTCTTGTATCAGGTCTTGTGATGGTCTGGACTACTGCACTGCTGAGCAGTATATTTAACAATGCCCAGCTGTTGTCCACAACCACCTGAATGCTCGACATATGCACTCAACCTGCACAGGCTAGTTCAAGTCTCAGTGTATGAACAAACTCAATAGGAAACACTCGTGCGTGGGGATGAGCACAGGTGTCGCCTGGTATTGCTTGCAGAATTCACCATGTCTTGTCGAAATGTCCCCCCTGTTACGGGTACAGGAAATCCCACGAAGTAGTTAAAGGTCTTGGCTCTGATTTGGATTTCCATAGGAGGAATGCTTAACTACTTCATGCCATGGCATTTTTCAATGTTGATGATGCTGGGCCGGCATAATTATCATTTTTTTCATTTTCAAAATTCTTCAAAAATTCATCATTTCATTTAACGGACGTGTCTAGCCGCACGAAGTAATCTTTAGGCACTGCTCTAAGTTGACTTGTGACCTTCATTGACGCCTGAGTATTTCAGCCAGGCTGTAGCCTTGTAAAAAGAGCCCAGATTGTGCAGTGTCATGTAACTTTCTTTTGTTCACGAACCTGGCTCAGTGCACTGCTAACCCCTTTTCAATAGGGGCCAGATTAGCGTGCAGCGGTGCTGTGTGGCTCATCGCCGCGGTGGTGGAGCGCTTTTGTCCCCGGTGGTAATCCGCTTGCTATAAATGCCCCAAACCCAGGTATACGGTTTCAAAACAAGGCTGGATTATCATCACTTTTGAGAGTGAAAAATGTCGATAATGCCCAGCAGCCTGGTCTTTTGTTCGGAGTACGGTCTGTTGTTACAGGGCCCTGTTTCCTTGTCCGAGTTCGGAGACCCTGGCCACGCATATAAAGCATACGTTTCCGATTCCGGAGCCCCCGGCAGGAAGTGGTTAAGTTAAATAAACTACATGTCTTTGCAAGCAAAATGAGATGAATACTCATGCTGTATGTGCATAGTGATTGTCACTTGTATGGGTGTTACAAACGATGAATAAAAGGAGGATCATTTTGCTTTAACACACCCATTGTCTTGATATGTTTTGTATAGGACTTGTTTCCGTTTTGAAGCCGCATGGGACTCCTCCCTCCACAACTCGGTGTTGCTAAACAGAGTGACTCCCTACGGTGAGAGGGTCTACCTTACGCTCTCTGCTTACCTGGAGGTAAGTAGACACATGGTATCGGCAAGACTTTTTGTTATTTTCTTTGAGTTCTCTCTTTGTTTCCTCTTTTACGTTGTCTTCAGCTCTCCTCAAGTCTATCAATGTCTACCTTAATTGCCATCTTCAAATATAGACTGCAACTTGCTATTTTAAAGTTCTACTTTGTCGGCGTTTTCCTTACCTTTGGCTCACAGTCAACGTGAGAAGAATTGTAACTCAAATGAACCATATGGTTAGCAGTGTCACAATATTTTGCCCGTAGCACAAACTCCAGTTTTCATTTGAGCATTCTATGCCATAGAAAAGGAATTTGGAAGTCACTTGTGCACACAGTACTATGGCGGCCATAGTACATTGTGCACAAGTGACATCCAAATTCCTTTTCCTCACGTGCACGCTTAGTAAACAGCAAATACAGCGACTGACATGTGATCGTGAATGGGCTGTGTAAAAATTTGGCCCTTGATCATGAATATGTATGAGATGTGGTCACTTTACATGTACATGTATATGAGCTCCCTGTGTTGGAAGTTGACCAACTAAATAATGAGGCAAAGCAGTGTATATAAATGAACTTCTGCATGCGCATTTAATGTTTGGGTGCACCTCTGGCAAACAGCAAAAATATTGGCTGACATTACGGTGAATGGATCAGTGAGAACTTGGCTCTCGGTCATGAATGTATTTGACTTACATGTACTGCTCTATAATCTGCAGATGAATGATTGATGCTAAACATTCTGTGTTAAAGACCTAAAGGGTGAAGTTTTAAACAAGCGTTATCTTTGGCTCCATTCCCCAAGCTTGACAATTGCACCCAGTCGGCCTGCATCACCAAAGACATCTGCCTTCAGATGTACGAGCGCGACGCTCGCATCAGCCCCGCCCGCTCCCTACGCACCCTGTTCGGTAGCAGCTACTACAAAGCCTCAGACAGGTAAGGATAATACTGAATGCTCTTTGTTCCTGACCCCGAGAGAGCAAGACTTAATTTAATATCATGGAGTTGTGTAGCAAAAACTGCTACTAGGCCAGTGTATGCTTGAGCAAAAAAAAGCTGTGGACCAGTTATGAGCAATGTAGAATGCGTGACATTTTGGCCAGGATCAAGGTCTGAGGAAGCAGTTATTTCCTTTTAGCAAAGTTTCTGTGCTTAGAACAGCAGCCCTGTAGATCAGATGGCCCCTATGTTAAGTACATGATCTTCGGCTCCTTGCGTAATTTGACACATACTGTAACCAGTGCGACACGGCGATAGGTATCTCCATGTTTGCCCAGATGTTAGCACATCTTCTCTTTGAAATGAACAGCCGACCTTTCTCCTGCTGTGTTGTAGTCATAGTTTTTGCTTACCCGTAGTTGGTTCACTGTAAACTACAGCCGGCTGTCAGTACTAAACCAGAAGGATTTATTCTCATCAAAGTGTTTTCAAAGAACAAAGATCTTACGTAACTGCCAAAGTAGCATATAATAAATAGTACCTCTAAATACTGAATGAAAATGCATATGCACATTTCATGTCAACACTAACGTGGCAAATGTGCATTTTGAGACAAATCTGTTACAGAGAGTGAACTTTCTCCAAAACTTTGGCTGTCCATACAAATGGTAACCAATTATTCAAAAAGGTCTTCAGCTGATACAATATATTTCCACCCATGCTAGGGACGTGCATGGATTTGTGCACAAGCGATATGTTCATTTTGTTAGAAAGCAAAGACACATATTTCTGATTGCAGTTTTCCCTTAACGTATTGCTGTTTTGATCTTCACAGCCGGGTGACTGGTGTGTACGAACTGTCGCTACGTCGGTCTGCAGAAGCACTCAGCCCAGGTAAGGTCGTCATTATTTAAGTACTAAATGTCTGGGAGGATAGGGTGTTTGAAGTTGACCAAGAGTTATCCTGGCTATTTTAGTCTGGCGTTAACGGCAACCAAGAAATATAATTGGACTCGTTATATTAGTGTTGTTGTGATGCAGGCCTTCACGAAAATTTGATGACAGTGGTGCGTACGTTTCCTCGCAAGTCGAGAGAGAAAATGGCAAAACTTCCATGTCGAAATTGTTACTGAAAGCATCTGTAAAAAGATCAAAGCAGAAATAAACATTTTTGTTGTAGATCGTACCAAACACCAGAAATCTTCTCACTGTTGTTACCGGTCCCATGCTGGTATTGCACAGCTGGTTAAAGTGCATCATGTTCTACGTTACACTGTATGTCACAAGATTCCCTAAGATGCCTGTGAAGTGAAAAAGTTCCAGAGATTTGAGCAAGCAAATCAAAAATGAAGGCTGGACACTCAGATTCTAGAGTTTCATGCCCCGGCATTTTTAGTTCTTTTGTTTCCGGTAATTATCGACACATTTCCCAAATTCAGCCCATGCTTCGGTTGCTAGTTTGAAATCAGCCAAGTAGATTAGACATGTGCCTATGTATTGACATGGATGTGAAGTTATAATTTCATTCATTTCACTTTGTGTTCTTACATGGCTACAAGTGGATTGTTTTTTTTCTGGCTGTGCATTCTCTTTTTGGCACGAATTTATTGTACAGATCCTTTCACTTTTGTCCAAGAAAGAAAAAGAGAGATGCGTGCATTAGAGTACTCCAGAAAATCTTGATTGCATGCAAACACCTCGTCTTTTTCCAACTTTCATTTGTACATTCATGTACCAAGGAGAAGTTTAAGTGAATTTGGAAGCCTCTCCTTGTAAATAACTTCCGAACTCAGTGCATTTTTATCCGCAGGAGTTGAGAACAGTTTGTAATCTTTGCACAGTGTGTCAGGCTTCATTTGTTAACATTAATCAGAAACAATTTTAGTTGATGCACAATGCAATGTTTTTTTTTTTAATTTCAAAACTTTTAAAATATATTTATGCACAAGTGTTCAATTTTGTTGTTTTGGAGCACTGGTTCATTTGCCACTTGACAATGTATAGTTATTTAATTGTTGGCTGTACTTTCAAAGTGTTCCCTGTCTCATTTCCCTGCTGAAGCTTTTTCCTTTGTTCCTGGTGCCAACTTTTGTCGTACATGTACAGCGCCTGTTATATCTTCTTTCTCTTGAAACTGTCTACCTTCAAGCTATTCTATCTATGCAAAACTGTGATTTCTTGTATATAATCCTATCACTGGGAATTTCCACTGACGTTTGTCTTCATGTCTGACCCCTTCTGTCAGTCAGTCTGTCTGTCCCTCCTCCTTCCTGTGTGTGTGCACGTGTATCATTTGTCCGTCTGTTGTGAAATGGGTTTGCAACAACCCTAAAGGTCCATTCACGCAGCATTCAGTAAAGAACCAAAGAGTGCCGTGGGCCCTCAACTGCGGTTTTCAGAAAGTGCTTTCTAGCCAATCGGTTGTCTCATTAGGCATGATGTCAAAGTTTGACTGGCATGATTTAATAGTGCTTCCTGTCTCCAGCGCTTCTGATGGATGCTATTAGCAACGCGAGATGGTCCGAAAAGGCCTGGCTAGTTCAGGGTTCAACCGTTCTCATTTGTCGTTCCCATTCAACTTTTACATTTACATGTATGTGAATTCCTCCCAAAAGACATCAAAATTCTAAGGACTTACGGAGCAGTTATTCAGAAAATCCTGATGCAGGCTACATGCACATGCACATTAACTTCCAGTGACCTATCATTTCACATGATGTTTATGGACAACCATGCACTGGTACATCTTTCAAATACGGCTCTAGAGTTTATCTAATAATATGCCCCAACAGCAAAGCTGCAGAAAATTAAATTGTTTGCAAGTTCACATACATGTACTGGTATATACCGGTACGTCAGTGTACGTACATGTATGGTACTTTCAAGTAGGCTTTCCATTGTGGGAGTTTGCAAGGGAGTAGGCTCACAATATATGTACATGTACTTTCCAGAGAGTGCAACAGTGGCCAGTCTGAGAGATGCGAGGGCCATTATGTGGAAGGCAAAGTAACGAGCATCGCTTCGCCCATTTTTGATGAGAATGGCTGTCGGTCAGTATTCTGTGACGAGAACTGATCGCATCCCATTGAAGACCTGTGCCTGGGTGTTGCAGTCTGATACTTCACACGCACTTTAGAAGCGCAGTGGTTATCAGAGTTGTCACAAATCACTTTTCAATACTTTTGGCCATGCTACATGTACAGTATTTGTGACAGCTTGTAAGGACTTATCAAGCATTTGGAAGAGCATGCGTGTACATGTACTTGTGAAGTACCCGAGTGAAGCTTTGATGTTGGGCGATTCCGTGAAAATGTCATCCTGGGTTTCGAATTTTGCTTGTGTATTTCCAAAGAAATTTATCATGTCCGGCACTGTTGTGTAGGCAGTGATGCTGGTAAACATCCACCTTCAGTGAGTTTTGATTCCACATCATACCCCAAAAAGGAAGGTTGGAAATGAGTCGGTCTGTCACCATGGCAACACATACCGGTATCTGTTGCTTCACCTGATCCTTGCAGTGTAACAATTTTGAAAGAAATCTCTGTGACAGAGAGATACCTCTGAGAAAGAAATAGCACTAGAGTTTAGGTCCTCTTAAAGTTAATACTTGTATCAACACAATCATGACAATAGGATACATGTGTATTGTGAAAATCTCATCCGATATGTCTGTCTGTTACTCATGGAATTACCGTCACCTCTGTTGTCTCCACCAACATGTACATGTATGTCACACTTGCTCCTTTGCATTCATATCTTAATTTCATTTATTGACCTTTTTTCACCAACCTTACTTAATGATTCTCCTCATGAGTGGTGTTTCATTAGCTTTGCTGCTCTTTTCTGCTCATTCCCGAGTTGCTCTACGTCTCTCATTTTTTGCTCTGTTTGCTCTTTTTCCTCCCCTCATTTTTGTTTGGTATGTCTAACTCATTTGCATTCCTGTGGCTCGATCCAGCAGGGCTATCTTTCAGTCAATATGACCTGAGAGACCTCCTGGAATCGACTTCACCTGGGGCCAACACCCCCCAGACTAGTGGTAAGACATCATCGTCCGGTAGTTCGTCTGCTCGTGACCCCACAGCAGGGGGTGTGGGTACAGGCTGGTCGGGGAGGGCATGTCCATTGGGCAGTCTGCACATGGAGGGACTCAGAAGTGTGCCTGAACATGCTGAATGTCATGGCTTTTGTTTAAGCAAATGTCAAGATGCTGGCATAACCTCAGATCGATGTTTAAGATCCCCAGTTCAGCAGCTTAGATGAATTATTGTTTGGTTTTTACGGTATACATGTAATTGGCACGTAAGTAAGCAGTTCAAGGAATTTTTAGCCGTGCGCAGCTGTGACCTTTGGTTCTGTTCAACTTCAAGGTTGTGACGTCAGAATCGATTTGGGTTTATGACAGGCACAACCAAATATGGGTACCCCCACTTTTTAATGAGGTTTGGCATCAATTCAATGACATATCACACATGTACATCCCCATGGACTGGACATGTACATACACACATGTTTGTAGAGGCTCACCCGTGAACATTTGCCCAGTGTAAGTTTGCCCGACAGTCGAGCAGCCTGTATCAGACATCCTCGGTGGAGATGGGCGGTCGCGAGCGGACACAGCTTGCCGGCAGACACAGGGTCATCTTAGGGAGTCAAAAGTTGGAGAAAAAGATAAACAAGGCTTACGTAACGAAATAAAACCCGATTGATTCTCTCTGTCTGTGTTCGTGTTTTATCAGTCACATTGTTGCTTCTAATGTTCTTTTCCTCTTTCAGTCTGTATTATAACTTTTTTGAGGAAACCTAGTTGAGAGCAGTGCGTATTTTTGTCACGCCGCTTTGATAAGAAGGGATTTTTCCTTTATTTCTCTCTTGTATCTCTCTGCTTTAAATCTGTGATTATTGAAGCAGCATTAGGTATGATCATGTCCAAAACGTTTGCAGATGGATTTGTCATGTGCACGACAGCAGTGTCACACACATTTTTCTTTTACTGATTTATTTGGCTAATTTCTTTTTTTTTTGTCTGTTTCCCATGAACCGAGATTGTTTCTCTGCATGGCTTTGATCACTCTGTAAAATGTCATTGATCGCTTCCTTTAAGTTGATACGTATATGGCATGTCCAAAATGATTTCAGTGACTTGAGAATAATTGTCAATGTTGTAGAGTTCACATGGTTCACGCACATGGGTTCAGCATTGATAATGTACAACGTTTCTGTCATAAATGATTTTTGTCACAATGGAAAAAATAATGGCCAACTGTATGGGTACGGTGTCCTTGACTGAACACAGTATTTTCACAAAAACTTGTCCAAACGCTGCAGTAAATATAAGTGTGTTCACACTCACAAACTTGTTTTGCTGATACTTTCTTCCAACTTTTGACTCCCTATCAATTTACCCAATAGTTGGTATACCATATGTGTAGCATGCTGTGTACCAGATCCCCAAACAGATACCCCAGTACACATCCTTATACACATAGGCACATGTGTAATCTACGTCCATTATGAAGGAGTTGTGGTAGTCTATAGCGGTGGTACTTTTTTTGTGTGTGTTGAGACAGTATGTAGTACCATTCTAGTGTTGTTGCATGTACAGCCACTAGTTCAGTTGTTTGTTGTTGAGGTCCGGTTTTATCTTGTGTGATGTATATGTAGAAGAAAGGGAGTGTTGTTGGATTTTTATTATCAGAAGGAACTGTGGAAAATTTAAGGTTAGCCTGTAAAGTTTGGTACCGATAGCATCTGTGGTTACTACATGTATTTGCCAATCTGTTGTGAGGTTTCACATAGATGTTTGACTGTACAGTGGCGTCAGTTAGGAAGAAGTTCAAGGCCAAAGTGTTGACTGTTTTAGTCAGCAACTCCTCTGAAATACTGGATGGTTGGGCTCTTGGACATATGAATCGAACCGTATTCTCTTGGAGCAGTAGAAATGGAGGGCACGGTTTTACATACAGTAACGATGGTCTTTCAGGATGGTTCACAATGAAAGTGTACATGAGCTTGTTAATTGTACTTTCGATAGGATGCCTTTTTCAAAAAGAAGTAAACATAGAGATCAATGGTATGAATGTACTGTCTGTGCGAGTGCGCCGGGTGCATGCAAATTAAAGCCAGGTTGAAGAGCTTCCCACTAGCCTGGCTCTTCTGTGGCGGTGAAGATGCACTTCAACTTGGGACAAATTGCAATACGGGTGATTCACAGTAGGGCACCACCAAGAGTTTGCAACGCATTGACCAATCACAATGCGCGAAATCTGTCTACCCAATGCGTGTTTGGAAAGGGTCGACAGATTTCGCACATTGTGATTGGTCAACGCTCTGCAAACTCTTGGTGGCGCACTATCTGACTATTTTGAATCACCCGTATTGCACATTGGTCATGTTGGTATTGGTAAGGAAAGATTTACTGGAACTCCAAAACTGTGGCACTTACTGTATAAGGATCATTTCACCATAACCTGTAGTGAAAAATGTTCAGGTCACATCTGGAATCAATCACAGTCAAACAATGTCCTTCAACTGAACTCGCACTAGATATTTGTATGGTTGCATGGACCAGATTAAGTCTACAGCATTGATGCACACAATTTTTTCTGTCATTTATGCACTTTAGTACACCTACTGTACCTTTGCATTGGTCTCAGTAACAGGTCCTTGGTCCCCAAGCCATAGAGTTCAGCTCAGAATTGATTTTGTAAGGTTTTGTATGCTATCTTTTAAAGGAAACAAATTGCTCAAGCTCAGATGCCCATTCCTTGAGTGATCAGATACCAGCATCTGTTCTTGTAAACCAGTTGCATGAGAGGTTCCAAATCTCACTTCTACCAATATCTATTTTGCCTTTTGTGTTCACTAACACTTACGGCCGGTTCATACATGTACATGTACTTCGCGCGAAAGCAAACACAAATTTGTGACATCAGATCAAATATTCGCATTGAAAATTTGTAAAAGTTGAACACATTTCAACTGCAGCAAAATTTCGCTGCAAATCTGTCGTGAAATTTATCGCCTGAAGTATGAACCAGCCTTTACACACTTGTACCGAACATCGTCCTTGGCTCCCAATAATTTGTGCTCTGAACCTACCAAACACTATTCAGTTGCCGTTATATTGCAATTATGTTGGAAAGTGACTAGTAGCCATTATTTCTCTAAGGATTAGAAGGGAAAGCCACTAGTTGTCAAGAGTATTGAATGGATACTGGTTTTGCGACTCCGCATGATCGGGTGCGGAAGAAAACCGCACATACGTGCACTGTGGCATTGCACTAACAATACAATGTAGCCTAAAGAGGGCGCCGCTGATACGCAAATCAATCCAGACTCACTACAGCATGCATCAGAGATCGATCCTGAGCGGTAGCTTCACGACTTTTAGGATAAACTTGATACCAATTTTGTGACTCAAGATTCAATAAAAAACAAAAATAATTAACAGATACATTTCTAGAAACCTTGAACTTGAAAGCAACAGCAAAATATCACGAAAACAGCGAGCCATAGTATCACAAGAGGGTGCACTTCAAATAGACAAGACAGGACGTTATTCAACATGGCAACAAAACATTCGGCAGTTAAATTCGCAAAACCAAACAACCGCTTTACCGAATGTTTAGCATGGACCCCATCGTGTTCGTTATAGCAGGGTTCCACTGTAACATTGAGGTTGATTGAAAACATTCAAATTTTGTATTGATTTCCATGGACACAGGTTCTATCAGAATATAGCCTTTACCGGTACATATAAGGGAATTCAAGTCATAATGGTCTATCCAGCGATTCTTTCCTTCGCAACATTTACATGGATGTGACAGTTGACTGGTCCTTTTTGAAGACATTGCTCCTTTGATCTGTCCATGGATGCAATGTTAACATGCACAGAGAAAGTGCACTCGCTTTCATCATAAATGGTCTTCATTCCAAAAGCCAAACACTAATTGATGCCATTCTCTTTTCAAAAGGGGAGGGGGGACATGAGCTTATTTGAGCACAAGGCTCTACACAGTAGGGTCTGCGGCCCACCGAAGCTCCTTGGAAAATGTTGGTTTCTAGATGCTCTGTGGTGCAATATGAGGCGGTTTATTTAAGTCTGGAACCATTTTGTTTGTCATTTCTCACTGTTTCTCCCATAAGAGGAAAGATGTGGCATACAGTGTATATAAACAGCTAATCTGAACTATGTATGTGAATTAAATGTAGGCCTACTCCCCTACATTTTTATGCAGGGTCAGAAAAAAGTGGAGGGTACAAATACCCTGTCCCCCACTGATTGACATCACCCTTTGCAAACACTCTGCTTTGAAGTTTTCTTTGAAAAACCCTTCATCTCAACGAGTCAGTTGTGGCAGAAGCCACCAGCGGCTGCCAGCCTTTTTTTCTTCGCCGTTTGTGTCTGCCAGTCCCAACCAAGATAGCAGTGGCATATCCGATGGGGATATGGGTAGGGGGGCAGCAAGTTGTCCCCCACTCCGTCTGAGACATGCTGCCCCTGTTTTCTTCTTTTATTTGTGAAGAATTGGACACCATATGGTGTTGGTGCCTTTTGGGGGTGGGGTGGCTTTCAGGATTCTTTCACTGATAAAAAAAATCCTGTTCTCTCCCTCCCTCTCACTCAAAACTCAGAGGTTTACAATTTTTCCTCTGATCAGTCGATTTCCTCATTTTTCACCTCACACTCATGCCATTTTGAAAACTGAAGAACACAAAGTCTTGTTTAAGATTGGAATTCCTGGTTTTTTTGTCAAAGTCCAAGTTGCATGCCTGCATATGCAACTGCAGGACGATCCAACACAGCCGGATATTAAGCGGGTTGAAGCAAGTCCCGTGCACAGGCATACCTGTATGGTTCAGATAACATGCATGGGGGAACCAGTGACAGGGGTTACTGGTTCAGATACAGCAGAGAGTTCTTGATGTGATTGTTATGTGTTGATATTCATTACAGTGTTCAGAACATTGTTGACCTGTGACAGTCAGTTTGTAGGAGGTAGGCAGCTAGAATAGTCTTTTTATTTCCCTGTGTCGAGTAGTGTTTCTTTGTTGGTGAATGTCTTGTCTAGTTTTTACTCGTAGAATAGACAGATCTTGTCTTGTGGCATCTTGGAGGGACAGGAATTAAATGTCCACGTCTGCATGATAACTAACTAGCAAAACAATTTGCCATAGTGAAGAATTTGTGTGGTTATTGTGGAATGTCTATGGATTGTTTCATGCAGTTTTTGTAAAATAGCAGAATTTCTACTGAACTGCATCTGAATTACAAAAGGTCTTGTTGAGGTTGTTCTCAAGTAACATTTCAATTAAATTAGCCCCGCCCCCTCCGATAATTTCACAGAACAAACAAAATAACAAGATGGATTCCTTAAGATTCCCAAATCAAGAAATACATGTCTAACAAAATCCTGTTTCAACTGCCATCATCTCAGATGTCAAAATGGGGCATGGCCTCTCTCTGTATTGTCTATTTTCCCTGCTTGCATTCATTCACACTTTTAAGGAGAAGCCTCAATCTTGCTTGAATGTAGTTCACCTTAACACTCTGTCTTGCCTCATACATGTACATGTAGTTGTGTCTTACAATACTTGTGTCTTGACAAACTTGAGACTTCACTTGTGAAACCAGACTAAAATTCTAGAACTTTAAACAAATTACCTAATGCAAGTTTTCTTCAAAATGACTCCTACATGTGCATATGTATAGCTAAATTATTACTTTGAAGGTACTTACATGTACATTGCAAATGTTTCTGTGAAAGCAAAATTTGATGTGAAAATCCATTTGAATCTGTATTCTTTACCTGTCATTAATGACTGGACTCTTTCCTAGAACTGCACTATAACTATCTTTGTTTTTGATAAAAAGCATTACCAAAGGACTTTGTGACATTTAGAATTCTTTGACTGGATGCAGTTGAATTGCATCACTGTGCATCAGCTTACAGTCAAGAATAGGAAACATTGCACACAGCAGGCCCTTCGCTTTCATCGAGAAACCTTAATTTATTATAGGGACAGTAATTCTTTTTCCATCGGATACCTTAAATCCTTCACAATCTACTCTGAGTTTTGGCAGCTCAACCCCTTGTTTAAGCTCACTGGATTCTGCGTCCCTCGAAGGTTTATGGCTCTCGTCTAGTGTCGGTGGTTTGAGGAATTTTCTGGTGAAATTTGCCAGGACATGTACCTCTTTGATAGTTAGAATTCACAAAACTGCCCTGCATACTTCCGGAAATTGATGATATCGCTTTTGTTAACTTTGTTACCTTCTCCCTCCCCCCTCCCCAAACCAGGCACACAACGTCGCCTGCGCAGGGTGATTGACACCTCGGGCACCTATGTCCGAGGGGAGGAGAACCTACAAGGCTGGCGCCCGCGGGCCGACTCGCTGCTGCTGGACCATCAGTGGGAACTGGAGAAACTCAGCCGACTGGAAGAGGTAGAGCATTCTGAGGCTGCATCTGACTTACTTAGCTGCGGCTTGAAATTACACACAAGCTATGGGTATAGTGGCTGTAGCTGTTACCCATAGAGTCGTGCGGAATGTCAAGCCGTAGCCAAATAAAATTTCTGTGTAAATCTTTGTCATGATGCTGCCATGCATGCCGTGTGTGTTTTATTCCTTTGTACTCCTGGGATGAGGGAGGCAATAGGCTGAGTAGGGGGTGAAATGGCTTGCCCAAGGCTACAGCATATGGCCAGCAGGTGGATTTGAACCCCTAAGCCTTTGATGAAGAATTTGGAACCCCATCCACCAATCCACACTCTCTAACAGCTTGAGGCAGTACATGCCTAGAAAGATACGGGTATCACAAGTAGAGGGATCTGCAGTATCAGTGAGCTCATCATGAAACTGCAGTGTAATTCATAAGGCTCCTTGAGCCTGGGGGATGAAAAGAACTGGAAAAGTCATGGAATTTGTTGTCAATTTTCAGGCCTGGAAAGGTTTAAACAAATATTTAAAATGACTAAGGTCCACAAAAAGTTGTGTAATTTTATGAGAACCAACTGAATTTAAATTTCAAACTTTGTCCAATTTATTGTTTGACAACGGCAAGCTTATTTTTTTACTTGTCAAAATGTAAACAGTTTACAGGTGTACAGCTTAGATCTGCAGTTTGGTTTACTAGGTCATGGATTTTGATTATTTTGGTTTCCTACAAGTGCAGGAACGTTGCCTCATATCTCTTGGACAACTGACAATTGTAAAAAAGTATGAGACCAATCTGTTCTGATTTGTTGATGTGTTTTTGTTCATCAAATTGTCTAGGTTGAGAAGGCGCGTCATAACCTCCTGCTGAGGGATAAGATCCAGCAGGAGCTGGTGAACACACGGGGCGACGGCCTGCCCAAGTCAGAGACAGACACCTCGCTAGACAGCACCCTTTCCAACGACAGCACGGACCGGGACTATGAGCTGCTGGACCGCTGTGTCAAACTGATGATGCGCAACCAGCCCCCGGTGCTGTCTCCGCCCCCATTTAAGGTGAGCCCTTCCGACAGTCGTCGGTGTATTTTGCTGTCCTGTTTGTCCAGAAGGGCATGCTACTCTGCTTGGAAGGAACTAAGAAAGCAGTCCTTTTTTTTGTTCAAACTATATTGGCTCTTTACGGGGATAACAGACGGCATGGTGTTAACGTTACATCAGTCCTTTGATGTGAGCTCACTGTATGCGCATGTACATGTATACAGAGTGATGTGCGTTTGGTGCGCTACACGCTAAGCAATTGCGACCAATTTCTTTTTGTCTTTACGATCTTCATATGTGCAACGGTTGCCTGCACGAGACCAGATGAAAAACTCCACAGGGGTGCCTCTCCATAGTAGTATTTATAAGCAGCTAGAATACTTGTGGTTAAACACAGTTCTTGTCCGTGTTCCAGATTACCCTCGACACTGCATCCGATGAAGTAGTTCTTGTTACGAAAGCTCAGGCAGTCGTTACGTTTGTCCAGTTAGTCTGTAAAGTGCTACCCCATTTTAGCCATTGGACACAACACTGCAGGCGTTTTTAACGCGAAGCCTTCTGCATCCTTCAAAATTCAGCAACCATTGCTAGTCTTTTCTACATGTACATGTAGGAAGAAAAAAGTCAGTTGTGAAAGGACTGGTCCAGAGAGTGCCTTGTCATTTTGTAAATAGTATAGTTTAGTCAAACTGAGAAGAAAGCTGCATTCTCCGTATACCAATAGTCCCATTTCCTTATACATAAAACACATATCTTCATGTAGAACAGATTAATGATGGTGTCCATTGCTTCATAAACCTCATTCTATTTAACATTCATTCCACTGTGTTGAGCTTCATAATATATTAGTTTCCTTTGTTACCTCCAGGCAAACTTGACTTCTCAGTTCTGATTGGTCGATCCTTGGCAACAAACAGTGTGACATACAACCTTATTGCACGTTCCCTGTCAAACCCCTCCTAATGTGCTGTTCTAACTCCATGCATTACGCTATTTTTACGCTAAAAGCTAACAGACAACTTTAAAATTTACTATAAATTCAAAGGTGGTGCTTGTGCGCACATACACGTAGGCCCTTACAACCTCTTTACTGTGCATGAAGTTTGCTGAAGATAATTTTGTTATCCCGCTCATGCTTATGGAACACAGTTGTAGTGCATCTGTGTATACCACTCAGCCTTTGGCCTCCTGATATACGGGACACAGAAGTACTGCATTATTCTGTGCTCTAGTCACGCTCATGTGATAACTAATATTAACAAAGTACAAGTCACTGGGCTCCATGGACCAGATCGAAATCCTGTTAACCACTTCACGCCGGGGACATTTATGAATGTTGATGATGCTGGGATGGGATAATTTTCATTTTTTTTTTCTGTTTTCAAATTCTTTAAAAATTCCTATCTTCATTTACTGGACACTTACACCCACACGAAGGACTGTCTGGTTCTACTCTCATCTGACAGATAACATTTATTGATGCTTGAGTATATCAGCCAGGCTTGCCGCCTTGTAAAAAGAGCCCAGATTGTGCTGTGTCATGTAATTTTCTTTTGCTCACGAACCTGGCACAGTGCGCTGCTGACCTCTTTTCAATAGGGGCCAAATTTACGTGCAGTGGTGCTGTATGGCACATCACTGCAGTGGTGGAGCGCCTTTGTCACAGGTGGTAATCCGCCCGCACTGAATGCCCCAAACCATGGTACATGTATACTGTTTCAAAACAAGGCTGGATTGTCTCCACTATTGACAGTGAAAAGATTTTGGTTATTCACAGCAACCTGGTCTTTTGGTTTGAGTACGATCTTTTGTTACAAGGCCCAGTTCCCTTTGTCCGATTTCGGAGACCTTGGCTATGCATATAAAGAACACGTGGCCGAAACCAGAATCCCCGGCGGCAAGTGGTCAAACTTGTATACTGTAAGCACTTAAATGTAAAGTATGTTGGGAATGGGATATGGACAATAAATGTTGCAGGACTGAAAAAAGGCTTTTTTTTGTGACTGTACACCACATTACCTCCAAAAGCCTCAATTGATGGAATGTGCAATTACTCATGAAAAGGATGGTTAATAGTCATATCTTTAAGTTTTCAAAGTTTTGAATTTAAAGATGATGATCAAAAACATTGAAACTTGTTGTATTACTGCACATTTCACTAACATGACTAACACACTAACATACTTGTTGCTGTGTGCTTTTCTAACACCATCCAACCCTAACCTGCGCCACCCCACCCTGCCCCACCCTTTGACCCCAAATCCAGACTTCTGAGCCACCCACTGTCACCTTGCAGACACCTGATGACCGCAACGAGGCCAACGCATCCACCGCAGCCGCCACCGGCACTGCTGGGGTGACCAGCAGCCAGGGTCAAGAGGTTACAACCCCGGACGAGCCCATGCCCTCCTCCAGCTCCATGCAGGACCTGCAACTACTGGGCCCCGGGACCCGCAAGCTACAGGTGCCCACCGATCTGCCGGGGATACAGGGACAGGAGGCGGCGGCGGCCACCGCGGGAGATGCCGGCAAGTTGAAGAAAGGAAGCAAGGGGATGTTTGTGCCAGAAGTGGAAGAAATCCGTGTCAGGTATTGTCAACAAACAATAACAACACTGTTTGTTTAAGGGCAGTTAGGAATTATCAACTTTGCTTTAAAATTTCGATTTTTTTTGCAAAATAAGGTTGAGTGGTTGGATCAAGGAAAATACTTGTTAGTCCAATGTATTTCTCAGTTCACCAGTTTGCACTGGAGTACTTAATCACCTTCGGCTGACGTCAATCCTCCATTTTTCTGGTACGCACAAAATCCAACAGGTTTTTGTGAGTGAATCGTGTGTTGTACTTGAACCTTGTCTCTGTGTTCAGCAAATGTTCTTCATGGGCACACCCTTGAGTGTTGTAAAATGTGACGTTTTGATAAGAATAATTGACATTTATAAAGTGCCCTATCCATCAAGCTGCTCCCAGGTGCTGTACATCAAAATATAGATAAATAAATATAAACTACAAGGTTGTTGAGAAGTTTGTTATAAAAACACTGTTCAAATGATGAGTCAGTGTATGTGGTATGTGAGTCATTCCATGAGGTTGGGGCACAGTTAGTGAAGGTGTCCTTGTTACATGGGTAACTTTTACCACCTGTCATGACCTGTAGAGTAGGTCATTTACTGTACTCTGTAAAAATAACACACACCTCTGCATTCAGCCTTGCAAGATGTATAACAATGTTAATTTGGAATCCACAGGCAGGGAAATAACTGTTCATTTTTACAGAACTTATGTAACAATTGACAACGTTACAAACTGTGCCCCAACCTCATGTTAGGACCCATAAAGTTGCTTGTCGGACTTTGCCACTGGAGCTTGCTTTTTTGAAAGCGAAAATCTTCTTTATTAAGGTCAGCCCACTGACTGAATAGCCAGTTACCCAGTTATCTGGTTGCAAAACAAGTTACGTTTTATTTGCAACTGATTAGTTGGAAATGTATATTATTACTCCTTTTAAAAAAGTACTGTGTTGCAGGATAAAACTGAAAAAAGGTAACAAGGTACTCAGTGATTGAACAGTCTTTGAAAGTTTGTAGTTATGCTTTTTACTGAATAAATAAATTCCAGGTTCCCGTTTTCCGTGAGTACATGCACATACATGCATTACACTCTGGTTACTTGCCAAGTTTCAGAAAGTCCTGCCATTCTCTTGTGTTCAGGGAGATTGGAAGGTTTCAGAGTTGGAAAACAAATGTCCCCTGTGCGTGTGTAAGTTGTTGCTTGGAGAGGGTTTTCACACTGAAGGATGTCTTGACAATGCATATTTGCTGTGCTTTATTTTCAGTCCTGTTGTGTCAAGGAGAGGCTACCTGAACTTCCTCGAGGAGAAGACAGCAGGCTGGGTGATGCGCTACGTGGTCGTCCGCCGCCCGTACGTCTTCATCTACGACAGCGACAAAGACCCCATTGAGAGAAGCTTGATCAACCTTGCCACGGCACAGATAGAGTACAGCGAAGACCAGCAGGCTATGCTGAGGGTAGGTCGGAGGAAATAAACCCAAAATCCCAAGGGGGAAGGGTTGCGTTGAACCATGCAAAAAGAGCCAGTTTGATGTTCCAACAGCGCATGCCCAAAATGAAGGGCATACAAGGTCATTCAGGAGCAGCGGCATTCACTTACCGGTACGAGGTCCCAATTCACACGGGTACTTTGTTTTTGAATGACCTAATTTCTATTTCAAAGAGAGCGGTACCCTCTGCTACATCTGATTCGAACCAGCCAGCCGACACCGGCAAGTTCGGTGGTCGAGTGGTTAAGACATCTGCACTAGTAACTAGGAGGTCGTGGGTTTGAGTCCCACCCAAGTATGCTTGTGGTTATTTTCATAAGCCTTCGGGGGCATACACTGAGTATACAGTGTTAAAAATACATGCTGGGAAGGGCAAAAATCCAATATTTAGACCAAATCTCTGTTTTCAAATGCTGAACTGGGTTCATTCTGCTTTGGCAAGGTGTGAAAAATTTATAAGTTTCATTTGTTGGTGTTAGAACATTTTCCAGCTTTTCATGTGAGTTTTTCCAATGTGTAAATATTCAAGGCCGCGTTTTGTTTTCACTTGTACGCAGACTCCAAACACGTTCTCAGTCATCACAAAGTATCGTGGCTTCCTCTTGCAAACCATCGGCGACAAGGACGTCTTCGATTGGCTGTATGCTTTCAACCCACTCCTGGCCGGCTCAATCAGATCCAAGCTCTCTCGCCGCTTGGCCACCCAGCTCAAAGTGTGAGGATGCAGTTGATTGGATGTTTGCACTTGGTCTACTTCAGGCTTGTCCAATCCAATCAAAAGGTCTGTTGTCAACTGGCAGCCTTGTCCAAGGTCTGCCCAACTGAAAATGTTGCCAAATTCAGAATCGTAGTTTAACCCGTAGAGCATAGAGGTACCATAACCCCTACAACAATTTCCTTTAAACACAAGTAAAAGTGCTGTACATTGATAACCTGCAACTTGTCTCTATGTAAAAATAAGAGTCCAGTGAATTGTATATAATAATTTGATGTCAGTTTAGGTAACCAGTGAAAACTGAGTCATTCTGTGAAAAAGAAAACGTTGACCAAAATATTCTCTATGTGGTGACCTAGTTTTCTAGTGTAAATCAACCAGAATTTAGTCATGTTAGGGGTTCTGGTAACCAAGGACGATGTGCAAGTAAGGCCATACCGTGAGCCAGCCATTGGTCATAAAAATATTTCTGTTCCAGAAATTCTTTACATTGTGTCTCAACATCTCATAAAGATTCATTCACGTAAAGATTCATTCACATAAAGATTTATTCACGTGTTCTTAACATCGGTCTTGAACTTCTAAAGGGCTCAATATCTGACGTTAAAAAAAAGAAATTTATAAGGGTGTGGGTACGATAGTTTTCTCTCAGTCTCTCTCTCGGTCAGTAGTCTGAGAACAAGTGCTTTGAATGACTGGGTTCACCACTGATACATGTACATACCTGTATGTCCTGTTGAGAAACTGATTTCTGAAGGCATGTTTCAATGGAGGAGACATTTTGAGAAATGTTTGCAGGGTCAGTGTAAGGGGGTATCATGCAGGGTATTGACTGGTTTTTGTGTTTGTTTTCCCGGATGTCAAACAGTATCACTCGTACCTGTTGTTGATATAACAGAATTCGACTACTTAATAAATCAATCTTTTGCACCAGAAAGGCCATCTTTCAACTGCACAGGTGATAACTGGTACGTTTTTTCCTGTAGTCGGTCGTCAAACATGCTGAACATGCTCAAAGTGTGGTACAGTACATGGACCTCGAAAAGAGAGAACTATGCCTAAGCCTCACAAATGAAACTGATCAGCAAAACGGCGAGTTAATCACATGGATTGCTTGGATTGGATTGACAACAAAGTTTACCGATCCTGGTGGGTCAACATTTGTTGCATGTGAACTGGGTGGAATCTGTTGGATTTGGTTTGGGTCAAAGTTCACTTTTATGGGATTGCCTTCATTTAGTGGGCTTCACACTTCTTTGTGTTGCTGGGTTTTTCTGGATTCAGCAAGATCACAATTTTTAGGGATACTATCGGATGAAGCCAGCTGTACACTATTGTGAGAAACTTGGTTTCAGCAAGCTGCATGGTGTTATAGGATTTCTTGGGGTCAGCATGTAGTGCATATTTGCAGGATTCTGTTGTATTCAGCAAGCTGCATATTTTTGGGATTCTGTTGGAATCAGCAAGCTATACACTATTGTGGGAGTCTGCTGGATTCAGCAAGCTGCACTCTGTTGTGGGATTCGTTGGATTAAGCAAGTTGTACACTGTTGTGAGATTCCGTTAAGGGATTTCATTTGATTCCTACTCTTTGGAAGTTGTGGATTCAGTTTTTCAGCAGGTGTCACTTGTCTTATTCTTCAAGATTCAGCTGGCTAAATTTTGTAGGATTTTGTTGGATTCAGCTGTCTATACTTTTTAAGATTCAGTCTAACTTGTTAGGCTTCACATGTTGGATTCTTACAGTGTCAACAAGCTGAGAATTCTATTAGATTCTGTTGGATTCAGCTCATTTTGTTCTGCTTGGATTTTGTTTGATCCAGTGAGTGTGACAGATTCAGCAGGCTTGGGTGTTGGGTTCAGCAGGCTTTCGCTGTTACTCAGATTCTGCTGGATTTACATGTTCCCCCGGTAACAGGCCGTACATATTACCATTGTAAGATTCTCTTGGATTCGGTAAGCATCACATGTCATCAAATTCGGTTGCATTCAGCAAGCTTTGCACATGACTGCAGTTGGGTTTTTCTACATGTTCTAGGATAAATCAGAGTGCATCAATAGAAGCTGTGTGGGTTTAGGTTACATGCAGTTTAGCAGACCAATGATGAATACGTGTAAATCCAGAGAGGTTTCTGTAATTAGTTTTAGTTCTGTCTTAGCTCCACACAAAAGTAGTACTTTCACCGTAGACTTATTTCGCAAGGGATGAATCCTTTGCACAAAGTTGTAGCTTGCCCTGTGAGTGTATACGCGTGCACATGTACCGTACCTTGATTGTTAACTGTAGACTTAGGCCTGTTGGTAATTATGAATGTACAGTTATGGAAGGGGGAAAAAATCAAGTCTTTCACTGATGAAATTCTGTGCGGATGGAGGGAGATTGTGTCGGATGTGGTCTGTCCTATCGACTGAGAGTTGGCCACCTGTCAGAGCTCTCATCAGTCTTTTCATTTTTCATTTGTTTGTTTATTGTTTATTGTTTTCTTTATTGTCATGATTGTAGCATTGATTGAGAAGGACAGCACTGGTCAAAGTCAGTATGAGATCAGAACGTTTGGAGGCAAAGATGGAGTCCACGACGTGGTGGTACAAAATGATTTCCATGATGAAATACCCATCCATTCCATTTCAAACTAGTAGAGTCACCTCCATTGTCTCAGAGTAAGGGTTGTCTTGTTTGTTGCCAGTGCTTCTCATCTGTGGTTGGTCGGCTCCAGTTCTAGCGTTTTCAATAAGCCTCGGCTTTGCGCCTTCTGCAGAGTTGTGCAGAGGAATCTTCCCTCCATCACACAGATTTCGGCAATTGTAAAAAGAAAGGAAAAGAAGAAAGCCAGAATAATTTGACCTGTTAAATGTCGTGAATGTTTGTGTATTGGATGTTGTGGTTACTGTTCTGGTATCGTCAAAATTTACTCATGGACGATCGTGTACCTGAATATGCACACAGTTGACGATCACAGAAATGCAGTGTAAATAATGTGTGTTGTTGTACAATCAGTGAAATTTCATTGCGGGGGCATGTAGTCGTACGTGTACATATAAACTAGGAAATGTGAAAATACTAAGGAGAATACAAAATGGCGGTTTCTGTTGTGATCTATATATATATGAGTATTTTTATGCAAATTGGCTTGCCATGTACAAGTTTAACTGAGCACTTGTTTCTGCGGATTCTCTGATGCTAGCATATCATAGATCTAGACAGCACTGAATTATTCTGTGGATCTCGGGGGGGGGGGAATCAGGTTAAGCAATAGCCTGTGCTGTGAGCAGTTTTTTACCAAAATGTTAAAATTGAAAGAAGCAAACATGGGGAGGAAACAGGTCACAGAAAGTGTTCAAGCATCATGACCTTGGATGATTAATTGCAACCACCTACATTAGTACTACTTAATTGGATGATAGCCAGCGCACAGGTGGTTTGTCTGAAAAGCGCTCGCCTCTCACCACTATGAACATCTGATCCCTTTAATTCCGATCAAAGTCAGGCCATTTTTGTGGTGATACGGATCCCTAGAGGATGCTCCAAGGATGTTTACCCAGGGCTTGTTGAACTTACTCTGCAAGGGATTTGTCAGAGGTTTTTTTAAAGCTTCATGTAAATGTACACCACCAGCACAAGGGGAGTATAGGTCACAGGCCTCTTCGTGGGTGTCTCGATCAACATCTAACAGCACCTGCTGTCAACAGTTGGTGAGGTAATCAGATTTTCATTGATAACCACACAAAGGATGTTTCTAAGGGTAATTTTGCTGGCTAACTAATCTTTCTCCATGTGCTGAAATTACCTTGAAAATGGTTCATGGTAACCTAACGATTTCTGAAGGGGTCAGCATATTCATGTGTAGCTCTGGTTTTATTCCCGGCCCAAGTTACCAGTATATGTAGGTGTTTGCTGAATCTTTCCTTTGCCGTGAGGGGTTTTCCCCAGGTTTCCAGTTTCTTCCCTCCCACACAGATCAACTCTTGCAATCTTCTGGTTTTGTTCCTCGTTTAACTATGGGTCCGTTGATGGCTGCCTGAGACACCTTTACACGCCTTCAACTTGACCTAGGGGTGACAAGGTGCAAACAATGGTTGGCAGATTTTAGGAGGGGAACAGTTGTTTTACAAGAGGATTTGGCAGCCAAGAGCTCAAGTCTGTATTATTTCTGGAGAAAACGTGGCACAAAACGTTCCTTCAGCGTACATTTCCATGATTTTTCCTATTACAATGCCCCTGTTCCTGTGATGCCTCTAGAATTTTTCTATTAGTTTAGCATGTATTACGTAGAACTGTGGGTGTATTTAACCACTGTAATGACAACACTGGTCTTTCTGCACAATTCACTGATTTTTTAGTTCTGTGAATGTTTTGCATTAATACTTCTTTTTATTTAATGACCAAGAGAAGACAAAATTGTACAAAGAATTTGTTAATGATTTTTTATCGCACACCGATCTTGTTTTATGGAAGCCTCCACATTTAATTTTAAGAGCTGTATAATATCACGGCACAAAGTAGTTATTTGAAATAAGTTATTGCAGGTACTGTTGCCTCATTTAATTACCGCTGCTGACGTTGAATTGATTTTTAATTTTGAAATAGCAACATCGGTAATGATTATTGTTGTGTGCCATTGCAATTCGTACGCAAAAGCAATGAAAGTGGCAAATATGCATAGGTGCAATGTTCATGTCTTTAAAGTACATGTAAAACTCAATTCTTGGGCATGCAGTAAGGATTACTTGTTACTTATTGGAATGTAACGATAGTGTGTCCCGAGTTTTAACAAGTCCAAATTTTATTTTCTTACTGTAGCATTAGCGAATGTATAGGCCAATGGATGTCAACCTGTACATGTTTGTATTTATGTGCTGCTTGGAGTGGTAGAAGATAGTCAGAATTTCAGGCTGTAATGAAATATGCTACTTCTAAGGACACGGACAAAGGATTTTCAAGGTAACTTCTGTCCAAAGAGTACAATGTTGCAAAGTTTGACTAATCCTGATTTTACCCGAAGCAGAAGAAAGGTTTCACAGGCAAGGTTTCCTAGAAAAAAAAATAAAATTATGGCTGTCGAGGATAGAAGTAGATTCAAAATGGTGATGTTTTAATTTGGGGCTACAAAGACAGGAGAAATATGACGATCAACGAAATAAATTACAGTATTATAACTATATAGTGGATTGAAATGTAGATGTGTTTGGGGCTCATGTGATCGTTTGTGGCCACAATTAGTTGTTTGGTGAAACAAAATGTCTTGCCATGTTTGGTGCAAATATGAAAGCTGAGAAACCTTGTTTTTTAATTCATTGGTTTTGGAAACGAATGCAGGTATAATGGATAGGAAACATTTCCCTGCAATATCAAAAACACTAACATTTCTAGTAGATGTAGATTTCTGTGTCGTCTCTAGCTTAACGATAAACATATCCCCAGGATCACGTTAGATAACCAACACAAATTGATTGTACTTTAGAGTTGGAAATGGAATCACTGCATTTAGAGAACACGGTTTTGTGATTGATGAGTAGATCATGTGTGCATTATTAAACTTCTTGGTGACAAATGTCGCTATGTAGTCAGCTTTTGATAATAATCACAGTGTAGTCCAGAGGAATTTGAAAATGTAGTAAGAGTTAATTATAGGTCTGAATAACTTGAGGAATCAGTCATGGAACCCAAGTAAACTTTTAAAAATAAATAACTTTTGACCTACAAACAACGAATTATATTTTTTAAGGTATTGAAGAGATTGTTGAAGCAATTGTACAAAAGCAAAAAGATCTGTGGATTGATAATGCTTTTTTCCCCCTCTATCCTCCAAAATGTATTAAAAATGCTCACTTAAAGGGTGTACTACATGTACATGTACCCCACACAAACAAGGGTGTTCTTAGGGTGTTGATTATTAAACGTAACACTTCAAGTGACGGGGAAAACAAGCTTTTCAGTTTTTCTTCAGAGTTCTTGATTTCACAAACAGGGTCTCGGAACATTTCCAGCTGCAAGACCAAGTAAGGTTTTTGTTTTATTGTTAACGTTTTTGCTAAAAAAAGGACTTGTTTTTCCTCAGCGAGGTGATGTTCCTTATCTCTGACAGCCTTGGTCTGGACAGTCTTTGATATTCTTGAATTAAAACCTTGTTTAAGTTACAGCTTGAGGTATTATTTACCATTTTGTATTTCATTTAAGCAAAAACCAAAGTAAGGTGTATTATTTTGTTGTTCACTGCCACTTTTGGGTGTTGGAAGTATTGATATTGGTGAATCAATTATTTTGTTTATTTACAATTGAAATAAGGGTGCAGATACGGTAGAAGCATTATTTGCAAAAATGTAACATAAAGTTAATTATTTTGAATTGATTTTTCTCCACACTTGACAAATGAATACCCATATCCAAGTACAAAACGTCAAGATTCTGTGTAGCTTTCAACCATGACGGGGGACATTTTGAGGCCCCCCCCCGAAAAAAATCTGTCAAATCAAATTCCAAAAATCCTGAGGTTAACTGTACGTTTATTTCATTTATGGTAATTTCTTGGCACAAGCAAATACAAACTGTTATGGTCAGTGCACAGTATGGCAAAAGGTTTCACAGTGTGTTGAAGTATGATTTGCAACGTGTACCAGTCTGTCAGCGACCAAAGGCAAAACCTGATCGAGGCACATACATTTGTACACAACAAAGACGCTGAAGCCTGGTTCCCTACCTCGATTGCATACAGTTTCTATACACAGTTGTGAAAATGCACACATGCACAAACGTCCAAAACGCTGATGTTACCTTCCTAGTGTGGACTTTCTTTGATTTTGTGTCGTTTAAAAATACACTTGGTGAAAATTCTTAGTTTTCTGGCACAGTGAACATTCTTTGAAGCTGGCTTTTATTTGATGGCTTCATTGACACCCCCTTCTCTAGGTAAAATCCTAACCCCGAAAATACTTTGCAAACCTATTTTCCAGCAAGGGGGTGACCCTGTGTGGACCTGGCTTAGTCCACAAAAGGTCCGTAAGCCAGGTCCTCACGACCTGCCTTGCGTGGACTTCATTTGTTCACAGATGCATACCTAGGTACGTATAAGGTTGCCACAAAGTCCACACTCAAGTTGGCGTAGGACTCTTCTGACCATGTACATGTATAATGTAGGTACATGTCTTTTTAGGCTATTTCAAAATGTAATGACTATGGCTAGAAACACCTGCTCCATCTATGAAAGCCACAAGCTTTCCATAGACACACACATGTATTAGTCCTAGCCGCAGCCAGTTGATTCTTTTACCCAATCTCCAGATCTGACCACAACATGTTGAAACGTAGAGCCCCCGACAAATTTCGCAGAGAAAGACATCAGGCCCACCTTCCTGAGTACTAATCACTTACATGTATAAAGTCTATGTTATGTGTGCTCTAAGAATAAGTAGAATTTTATGCCAAAAATAAAATGCTATGGGGCCATGTACATGAACACAAACTCAATAAAAAGCATGAGCTTACATGTGTACATGAACTGCAGCTTTCCGCTTTGATTTATTTCAGTGTTCTGTGTATGGTTGGCTAAAGCCTTCACAAAACACGTACAACATGTATATAATTCATCATTAAACATGTTTAACAGAACTGATACACCAAAGTTGGCCAGTAGTTAACCGCAGCCAGACCAGCTTTCAAATTACAGTTTACATTTTGCAGATAATCCAGTCCTTAATTACCAGTCTCCATACATGTTTGTATAATAAACATACTACATGTATATTCCATAAACATTGCAGCCTTGTGCGTGGAAATACCTAGTAATGTACATGGACCAATGCCACCTTGAATCAGACTAGCCAAAAAAGGAACTTACATACGTTCATTCATACACATGCACTTTATGCGGCCAGTTGGGGCCCACAGTTCCTTAAACTCCATAGGAAAGTACACAGGTAAACAAAGTGTGGTGTCATTACTACAGAGGTCTAATTGCATTGCTGAATCCTTATTCAAATGTGACACTGTCTATCAATAGTTCTATACTGTGTAATATACATGTACATGTACACTGCACATACATGTAGGTCTCTATTATGTAGATATCCACAGGTAACATTCAAAACAAAATCCTCTTAGTACTCAACTTGAAAATACATGTGATGTTTAACTCCAAGCAGACCATTTACAACTTTACAGTAAAATGAAAGATGAAAGTGATACATTGCAGCAATATTTTGTTTGAAATCAAAAGAAAACAGAGTTTCATTCAGCTTTATCACTATTTTTCTGAATGTTTGAGAACAGTGAAATAAAAAATGTTCCTTTTCATGCAATCTGGAAAGAAGACAAAAGAACATAACCTTATCTGACTTTACTATACTACAAGGTTTACATTTTGCCATTTTAGAACAACCTTTAGCTGTAAACATTGAAAGACTGAATTTGCCTGAATCTTGTATCAATCATTTTGGTCCATCCTTTTAAGACATACAGGTACCTATTCATGTATTTTAAAATATATTTTTGGCTTGATGACCCGAGAAAGAACACCATGATGTAAGACATTTTATACGTTTTTCCACTGAAAAACTTCAAATGGGAAAGTTACATGTGTAAAATTAAAAGTAGTTTACATAATACTAGGATCTTCAATGTCAGAAAAAATCTCACTCACTCTTATGAATCCCAACAGTATCACTGCCCTTAGGCAAAATGACAAAACAATATCTGGCACTGTTACAAAAAAAAAATCATTCCTTGATTTATGGGAAATGCAGAATTCAAATTAGTGCTTTTTCAATACGAAACAAATCTGTTCAACTTGCTTTATTTTCCACGTACATTCACAGATAAAACTCCTGTAAAAAGCTATTGCCATTTTCAATTTAATAACGCTTGGGTAAGCTCATTATTAAGAAACAGTTATCACTGGGGCAATCATCAGGCCTTTCAAAAAGACCTTTGCTCAAAAAAAGATTACAGTGCATCTACATGTATATACCAATTTTGCTGGTGTCTCGCCCTACATGTGTTGTAAGGTTCCCCCCCAAAAGTCTCCTCTTTCTGACCAAGGGCTGGCTCCAGCTTTTTTCCCCATAGAAATGTGTGCGCATATGTGCCTGTACCATGTGTACATGTACATACCACCGCTTATACCCAGCAAGAAATGAGACTGAGGGGTACCCCCCAACATGTCCGATCCCTACACACATTCCAGACTATTGTTACTTAACACATCCCCCCAAGATGTCTGAAAGGAATTCCCCAGATTCCTGCGAGACAATGACCAACACAAAGCAGGGGGGGGTTCTCTCTGTCTCATACCTTGCTGCATACGCCACCGCTACCAACGCTGAAAAGCACTGGCCCCCTCACTGCTGTTTAAAAGCTATTTCAGCTTGTAGATGTGCACAGGACGTCAGACCACCTCGTTTGTCTGGTTCCAAGACGTAAATTTTGTGTATAATACATAAATTTCATCTGAAAAAGAGTGCCCGACTAAATGTAATGATGCCTATAGGGACTCCTTCACATATACTCAACCATACCCTATCTAAAACTACCCCATCTAAAACAGGTCAAATTTACGCAGTAGCAGGATTCCAGTCAATCAACCACGTTTGGCAGCTTCTGGACATTGTTTTATACCAAATAAAAAAATTTAAAAAACTATTTTGCCGATGCGCAGGTCTATGGTGACGTGCATAATGACAGGGAAGCAGAGACTTTGGGGGGGCCTAATCCCATCTGGTTGAATTTTTACCTGCACCAGTACAGGCATCAAGATGATGCTTTTATCAAAAATACTATAAAAATACGACCAAATATCTTTAGATATTGTCTACAAAGTTACCTGATAAAAATCTGATATTATTTACAATGTTACCTGATAAAAACCACGATAGACTTTGAAATTCATCAAATTATTAGTTCAAAACCAGTAAAATATCTCATTTTTGCAAAGACTGTGTACAGATACTCATATAATTCATGAGACTTGGTCCTAGGTTAAGAAAATTTTTCACACTGATTTCTATTAAAAGATTATAAATCCTACAAAAATTCATGTAAAGCCACTGATTACAATGCCATGATTTACCTTCAAATGCAGAGCCAGACTTGTCGCTCTCATATAAAATGTAAAATTTCACACAAATCTAGGGAAAGATTTCTTTAACCCTATCACCTCCAAAAGCATTTGTTGTTCACCCTTCCAAAACTAGCCTGAAGAATTAAAGGGTCTAAGCAATCATCTCAAGAATGACTCCAGTACATGTATATACATAATGCAAATTCACGTTCTCGCCGGAGTTTGCGAGCGTGCGCATTTTACCTGTATTTTAAACCTACAGTAAACTCCCACTAAGTCTACACTCTCGGTACTCAAAAAATTATGTCGGCTTTAATACACAAATGCTGACTTGCGCCGTAAGTCGTCATTTTGCCGTCTTGCATGTACACATGTATTGTCTATGTACATTATGATTCCTTGCACTAATTCAGTGGCTCTGATTTGCCCTGGTTTATTTCTACCTCCATGGTTGATCCCCGCAAATTCGTTTTTGATTATTTTCCTCACAGGCTGCAAATTCGATAATTGCCCTTGAGGATGGATGGCACAAGGATGGCACGCCACTTGCATGTCGCATCAGGACTCAACAGTGCAGTACATACATGTGCATGATATAGTTACGGTACAGAAAACGTACACTCATCCACGCACGCGCATTGGTTAAATTTGTTCAATACAGTCTGGATACCAGACCTGATGATTCTGACTACCTGACGAATCATTACCAAGGAATCTTTGGGCAGGGAACCAGACTATGTTCAATAAGGCGACCCCCAAAATGGACAGAGCACATGCGTGTAGCACTAGCGGGGTTACTGGTATAGATGTACTCATGCTGGCCGCGCGTGCATGGGACTTGTCCCTTCACACTTCTTGGCAACCGCGGCGAAGGAAACTGATACCGAAGCACAATTTTTTCAATGCCAACTCACAAAAAGGAATTTTTGTGGTTTTGAGGAAAAGGGACCAAGAAAAACATGTCGACTTAAACGAAATGACGACCTATAAATGTCGAATTAGAAATGAAATTTTCAATGGAAATGCATTACAGACGATAGGGACTTCTGTCAAGCGGCCGACTTGGACGATATGACAGGTCGCGAGATGCCGACTTAGTCAGAGTTTACTGTATTTTTTAACCACTGAGAATGTTCTGGTCCCGGACTGAGAACCCAATGGCATCGCTGTGAAAAGGAATCATTACGAAATTTTGCAACCCGCATCAAAGCACTGGGGAATTTCAACAGACCCACCAAAGCACAGTGCACTCTCAAACCCTGGCATCTGGGAGAGAGCACCCTCTACAGTTAGTGTGCAAGTCAAATACCTCCACAGTCCTTGAATTTCTCGAGTCATCTCACTGGGCCCATTCAATTCAGGTAGAAGCGTCTCTTCTGTACCTTGCATTTGTGGACACCCTTATCGTGGCAGCCGATGTGCACCAGTTTCAGGTTATCTCTGGTGAAGAGCAGATTGTAGAAGTACTGGACGTTGACCTTCTTGTCTCGAGGGCAATTGCGGATGGCTTCCTCCAGCCCTGGTATCACTGACCGGCTCTTCTCAATTCTGAGGGACGGGAGTGCCAAGAGAATGCCGTAAATCAAAGTTGCCAAAAAGAAACAAGTTTGCTACCTGGTAACCAAAGAGATTTGTGGTCCATTCCATTTCATGAGATTTTGCGAAAGCAGTATAACACTAACAGATATACATGTAGGCACAAGTTCTACTTTTACAACATAAAATGCACCTTAAAGCTGAGTTTCTAAGACAAAGTACGAGCTAGGCTCACACGTTTCAATGACTGCATCACTGTTTCATATATTTTCTTTCAGACTGTAGGATTGCTTATTCAAACAGCTGACTTTTCTTTGTCCATAAATTTTCAGGCAAACTGTGATCAACAATAAAGCAGGGTCCAATCTCAAGGGGTTTTTCACAAATCGTAGCGCTGTTCCATGCTACATAAGATGTGGATGGATGCATTCATGATTGGTTTAGGATGCAAAATGTCAGCAGACACAGCATCGACCGTGTCACCGACTTACACATGATCCAAGTTCCAGGTGCTGAAGAGAACCATGCTTTCCTTGTTCATGTATGGGTTGATCTTATGATGGTGACAGCACGACGTCTTGTTATATGCCCCCTGACACTTGAACAACCCCATGCGATCACACAGACGGTCCCTGTGGTACGAATTCCTCTTGAAGTACACCCCGTGGAATTCGTTGTTTTTAAGGTCGTCCTTCAAGTCTTGGATAACATTGTCTAGTCGTTTTTTCGCTGCCATGGAGTACGTTTTCCGTTCGTTTATTAACATTTCTTTTGTCTGTAAAAACAGTGAAATCGAATGGGGTCTTAAATGCACAATACATTGCAAACGAAAGTTAACAGAGGGAAATGGAGTAGGAAATTACGGGACATTTTGCAAAGTAAAGAAAATGGCCTTCACATCCACATTCGCATTGCACATGTACAAATGTAAGCATAAAAATATTTCCCCACTGTGTTTTTACATTTTGTGAAATGAAAATAAATTCCTCAGAAGGACAAAAAATGTGAAAAGAATTTCACATTCCAAGGTTAAGTTTCAATCGCGCCATGCTGTATACGGTAAATGCATGTGCTCCCGTAAATGCATGTGTCCATTTCAAATTTGAAACAATTTATTACAAGAGGCTGCCAATGTAATCATTGATTACATGTACATGTAACGATAACAGAGAGATAAGCATACTGCACCTTTGAAAAATAGCCTCGGACTCTCTGCTGTGCCTTGACGAACATCACATCTGACTTCGTTTTGAAACGCTCCTCCAAACCTACCAAGGATATATAAATGTTCATGTGTGAGTCTAAAATAACTTAATAGAGGGTTTACATGGCTGCCATCTTGTAGGCCTGAACTTTTGTTCCACGGGTATGTACAAAGGAAGTTTCCTTGTTGAACAAAACAATGACTCTTCAAGATGGCTACCGTGCAAAGCCACACACACATATACATCTTTGTACCAGCCATAAACCACATGCACAGTACATGTACAGGATATCTTTAATTGTTCTCCACACTTGAGTGAATCCAACAGATTTCATAACAGCACTGTTGAGTTAAATTAACTGAATCAAAATTAAATCCCTTTTTTTATCCAATGTTTTTTCAAAGCACAAACATTTCGGCTCTTATCTACAAGCCTACCATCGAACCATTCAGGATCCTCGTCTCGTCTCTCGGCCTCGATGTTTCCCTGCAGCATACTGACAAACGTCCACTAGCAGCTGATGAATATCTGACGGCTCCCCCTGGAGGAGGTCAGTGACTTCATTCCTTACACTATTGCTCTGAGCCAGCGTGTCAAGCACTGCCTGGATATTACGCTTGACTGCATCAAGGCCTTGGGAAATGAAAAGGAAATACTGTTAAATTCAGATGTGGCCCATTCCAAGAAGGAGATGTGTCATTTCATAAAAAAAACCCTGATTTTCATCAGATGTAACTAAAAAACTGTTATTCAAAAAAAAGACAGTGGAAATAAAAGATGCTACTTAAGTACAAGTACACGTATGAATTGTTGTTGGTTTCATGTTTTGAAAATATTTTGTGTATAAGTGATGAATAACAATATGGCTAAGCCATTATACAATGACACATTGTCACTTTTGAAAAGAATTACAAAAACAGAACAATACAAAAACTGCTGCAAACTTTTTGGAATATTCGGAATGGAAGAATAACTGAAACAAATTGGAAAAAAATCATTTTGGGGGGAGGGGGCTAGGAAATAAAAAGTGCATTCTCAAGAATCTTGATTGAAAGGCCTTATGATGAGGCCAAAAAAGTAACTTGTGCCCCAACTGATTCTACTTCAACAAAGAGTCCTGGAACTCTTTCTGCCAACTTGGTAAAAGGCTATCTCCTTCATCAAATAAAACCTAAATTTACATTTACATATGTACGTAGATGGAGCAGACTTTTTTAACTCTTGGCTTTATTAATACTTTTACCTCCCGCCCAGGACTGACCGCTCCCCACAATCACCAGACATGTGTTGCTGGCTAAAGTTTGGAAGTAATCCTCATCCATTACAAGCGTTCCATCCGCTTCGAGGCAAATCTTTGCACCATTCTGTGGTAACTACATGTAAAACACAAAGCCAACACAAACGTAGACTGAGTTTCCAATCTAAATATCTGGTTTGTATGGTAAGTACAAAGGTGCATGTATGTCTGGAAGCCTTGTTGGGGAAAAATGCCTAAACATGTATATGTAGATATGTAACAAGCTTTTTTCTGCAGACTGAAGCTTCCTACATGTACATGAACCTGAATCAATAGAACAATGGAAAATACGAACATGTCGGTGCATGCTCTTATTTACTCTGACTTTTTCTTGCTTCGTTACTCTTTTCACAGATATTGAAAGCGCCAGCATTTTAGAGATCATGGAAGGATATAGCATGACTAGGTTTAGTGTCTTCTTTCGCCTCTGCTTTGATACTACAACAATCTTCACAATGGGGATACCGGTATATAAATTGCAGAAGAGGGAACTGTCTATGATTCTTTCACACCTGGACAATTATTTTCAGAAACCAATACAATCTGTCCCCCAATGTCCCTCGGACTTGATGCAAGACCTGGATGGGGATACATGTACATGTATGTACATGTATGTGTATGTGATTGGACCATGTGGACTGAGACCTGAGAGCAGAAAAACGTGAAAGAAAAAATATTACATGAAAAAAATTAGTCATGTACCAGTAACAGTGTACAATGGGCCTCCTGTACATTGTAGCTAATGCTCAGTCCAATTGGACCCTATGATTCACCATTTTGGATAATTGTTCAAATGTTAAAAAAAAGGCGATTGGTATCGTCCAAATGTTTAAAAAGGCATTTGTAGGGTCTAAGTTTGTCAGACTTCTTACACTCAAGCTCAGCCATGTGAACTGGCTTAAGATTTCTCCATCACCATGTGATCACAGGGCCTCGATTATAAGCCATTTTCACATTTCATGTACGTGCATGCTCAAAAGATTTACATGTAATAGTAGGGAACTAATTCATGACAAGAACGTTGCAAATTGCTGCTCGCGATTGTTATTGCTGTAGACAATTTGTTCCCCTCCAGCTTTATTCACTTCATCATGCTGGGGCGCTATGGCGACGGAACGGGAAATTGGTTTATTTACACGTGGCTTGAATTACTCTGTTTCCAAGGGGGAAAAAGGCCTAGGCCTACACAATACATGATGGTTGATGCAATTTCTTCCTTAAGTATGACATGTCTACATGTTAGGCTGCATCTGCATCTCTCGTCTAGAGCTAGGTCTAGGTCTTCGCTCAATTGGAAATGCGTGGAGACGCATAGACAATAGACCTAGCCGTAGCTCTGGAAGCCCGTTTCGGACACGGCCTTAGTCTATCACAGTGCTCATACTAAGCAGGACGGTGGGCCTCAGGCTACGGGCCCTATCCATGTAGCCTAGGCCTACCACGGCTGTTTGATGCCCGCCACACTCATGGAGCTGGGAGCATGGCAAACATCGGACCATGTCGACCCCCACAGTTCTGGGGGTAACCGTTTGGGGCCCGGGGTACATCACTGTAGGCCTACATGTAAGCCCCACTATTGTGGCACGGACCCTCGCAGACGGCTGTTCCATGTCAAGAACTCTACCAAATAAACTTACCTGCACAATCGCTCTGTCCGTGAAACTTCAGTTGTATATAAGATATGTTTTGACATGGAACAACCGTCTGCCAGCCGGGGCCAAGTGACTTATAAAGTTCAACAGACTCATTTTAATTTAAAGATTGCGTGTGAGAGTGCGACAGTGAGATTGAATGGGTAGGCCTAAAGGCAAAAAGACTGGAAAATTCCAGAACAACGTCAGGGAAATCATTCAATAAATGGTCATTAGAAAGCGGAGAGACCAAGGATCATTTGTGTGTGAAAAAAAAAAATTGTGCGTACGATTATAAGAGGGTGCGCCGAAAATTTCACTACGCTGACACTAAAATTGCTTAGGCTATACCGATGTGTGGCCAAGGCAAGGATGGAGTGGTAGCGATGGTCCGTGCCGCACTAGTCGGGCTTACATGGCTAGGGCCTACGTACATGTATGTACAGTTTCTTGTAGCCCCACAAGTGTGGCACGGACTCTCACTCCCACTCCATCCTTAGCCACAGTACACATCCATAGAGGCAATTTCGTGTCGGCGTACTGAAAATTTTCAGCGCACCCACTTATCATCGTGGGCGCAATTGTTGTTGTTGAACATTAAGTCACTTGACCCCTCATCGTCTCGGTGGCTGTTCCATGTCATGACATTTACATGTAAACTGCTGCCAAAGTTTTGGAAGAGCCCATTGGCAATGATTGGTACATGTATCTTATCGCTCAGTCCGTGTATTAGATATGTCTTGACATGGAACAGCCGTCGAGACAATGAGGGGTCAAGTGACATTATGGGTGCAGACCACTCATTTAAGTGAGAATTTCTGACCAGCTC